GATGTCTTGAGATGTTGCTTCAGTATTTCTACATAATGTTCTATTTTTATGATGACATCTAAACTGTGAAGTAGACCAGTCTCTCCTGCAGCAAAACAGCCCCACTACATGATGCTGCCGCCCCATACTTCACAGTTGGGGTGGTGTTCCTAGGCTTGTAAGCTTTCCCGTTTGTCCTCCAAATGTAGCATTGGTCATTATGGATAATGTTCAATCTTAGTTCCATCAGACCACAGGACGTGTCTCCTATTATTTTTGACAGTAATTTAGCTAATTGATTCTGGCTTGTTTATTTTCCCATGTTGTCACACAAGGAAGCAGTTTGTTTGAGGTTTTCTTAAAATACTATTCTACAGTTGTGCCTCCAATTAACTCAAATGTTGTCAATTAGCCGATCAGAAACTTCCAAAACCTCCACACGATCATCTAAGTTTTTCAGAGGCATAATAATCTTATTGTATGTAAACCTCACTTTCAGGAAAAGGTAAAACATTTTCTCAAAAAATATCTCTCTCATCATTCTGCTATTAAGTATAACAGAAACAAATGTGATAATCCTAATTTACCTAAAAGAGAAAAAGTTTAGTCTCATTAACATCTGACTTATCTTTTAAATGGTTATGTGCCTTTTTATACAGTGCATGTAAACTTCTGGTTTCAACTGTATATATATATATATATATATATATATATATATATATATATATATATATATATATATATATATATATATATATATATGCTTCTTCTTCAGATATTTACCACAGACAGTTGTTGTAAAACAACATGAGGTGCTTTCTCATGTGGAAACCAAAGGTAGATATTTTGGAAAAACAATAATGTTTCAATGAAAGTCAGTTAGAGTCAATATTGTTTTTAGCTCCACAGTCTTTGATTATTTTCTTTCCACAGAAAAAAAAGTACTACAAGGTGCTCTTTTATGAACGTTCGCTTTAAGAACAAGAAATAAAATTTGGATAAATAGATGAAATCTGCTTATTTTAAGTATTAGCATGCTGCATTATTTTTTTAAATACTTGAGCTCTTTGTCTGAGATTTCATCAGAAAAAATGAATCTTGATTTCAAAGATAAATTCTGTCAGTGTTGTTATTGTTAGTTGTGGTTTGGACTAATATTATTGTTTCAAATTTAGAAACTAGGTCCTTGAGAGAGAATGTTCCTAGTTTTAATTGCTTTGTTACTACTGTATTTCTTGTATCATCACATTTACTGAATGTAATTCACAAGGCAGCAAGTATGAAGAGCAGAATATCTGATTACAGCATCCCCATAAAGATCTTAAAGAGTGCAGGGCTTGATCTTGTAGCTGTTAAAACCTCATAGTGGTTGTTTTCTGACCCTTGTAACCTGACCTGCGGAGATCAAAGCGCGGGACAGCAGAGGTTTGCAGGACAGCAGCTGTAAAGAGGGAGAATCACTGCTGGTCACACCATATTTCATTGTACTCCACAAACAGTCTTTGATTTTTAGTTTTGCTCTCCATTAAGGGTCTTTCAGATTAGTTTTGACAACTTTGCTCACAATCTATTGTTATAGGGTTGCTGATCAATCTTAAAGGAATACAAAATGCTGCATCTTTAATGTTTATGCTCATTACACTGAAAAACAAATGATTCGCTGGATTTTACTAAAGGTAAGTGGTTGCAAACAGTTTATATGGGCTAAAATGAAACAAATTAAGCTGAACATAACTAAATTTGTTTGTTTGAATTCAGCCCATATAAATTGTTTGCAAACACTTACCTTAATTTTTTAGGTTAAATCCAATGAATCATTCATTCTGTGTATTAAAATTATTTTATTAATTTAACCTGCCTTAAACTGTAGTTATTGATAATTATAATCAAGTTGCTTTTGAGACTCTCAACATAAATGTGTCCTCAATTATGCCTTTTACTTATAAAATGCTAGTCACCATATGGTGCTATGTCACCATAAATAGTATAAAAAATATCTAAAAATATCTATGGGGCGACAAATTAGTTCTGACTGAGGAAGGTTGAATGTGCTGGTCAGTTTGTTATTTGCCTAATAAATGACAATAGGCTTGTTTTTAATTTAAAACTTTAACAGATTCCTATTTTTTCTATTGATATATGATGTAATATATTTGTATTTAAAATATAAGTATTGTTTTTATATTTCTTTAGTCTAAATCTTTGGGAAATGTTATTGGTACATCAAAACATGTGGTGACATGATGATGACCATCTGACAAGCTAATCCAGCAAAAAATAGAGCTTAAAATGCAGTATTTAAACCTCATAATTAAATAGAAAATGAGCCAAATTGTTATTAAGAAAAAAGAACCACCTTTTTCACCAGGCTGGCTAAGGCCTTGGTAAATATTAAAATAAGGAAACAGCATAATAATAATAATAATAATAATAATAATAATAATTTTAAACAATAAAAAATATTATAATTGTAAACAAGTTTTCCAGTACTGGGTTGTGGCTGGAAGAGCATCCGCTGTATAAAACATAAGCTAAAATAATTGGTGGTTTATTTCGCTGTGGCGACCCCTAATATGTAAAGTAGTAAGTTAAAGGAGAATGAATGAATGAATGAATAAATAAATGAATGAATGAATGGACAGTAAGCAACTAAATTTTATCAGAAGTGTGAGAAATAAAGAAATAAAGCAAGAAATGAGCGCAGATATCTAAGATAAAATTGGATGTGAGATATCCAAATGCAGAATTGAGCAAAAAAAAAATTCATTTCCACTTTACAAACCTGCGTTTATTAGTTTTTTTTCTGAATTGCAAGTAAAAAGTCAGATTTGTGGGATCAGAAATCTACAGCATGAGCAATAAAGCAACAGTTCTGAGGAAACAGTCACTATTTTGACATTTAAGCTTAAGATTGCTAGATCTTAACTATGAATAATGATAAATTATGAATTTAGATTTGTTTATATTTGACAGTTTTAAAAAATCATGGTTGATAATTAACCATAATTAACCATAATTGATAATTAATAATTATAATAATTATACTATACTTGCTTTTTAAAAATCTCTCTCAATATAATTATGACAACAAAAACAAAAATAGTCATAATTATTATTCTAAAATAGTCTTTCATATCATGGGCCATCAGATAATTCTCAAATCATTTTGTTGATGTCCTAGTAATCCTCTTCATTATCTGTTGTATTTTGAACTCCAAAGTGATGCAATGGCCAGAAAAAAAAGGAAAGCGTGAAGGAGCGTAATCTCCAAGCAGTAATCCTCCAATGCTTTATATGGCAGAGTCCTATTGGTGTGCTAAAACAGGGCAGTGCAAATGAGAGACAGGTCATGACAAGTCCTTGGAATTGCCTTTGTCTGCTTTGAGAAAGCACTTTGCCCCCAAGCGCTAATCTCAGCCCCTCTAATTTCTACAATAAGGTCTCATGCTCACAAATAGCGTCAGATCCCACTGCTATAGCAATTCACCATGCTGTCATGTGGAGGAAAAGTGTGTCATAAATTTCCAGGTGGCATGTTCACAGCCAGTTCATGTTATTCTGGTCATTTCATTGAGAGCGCTTATGCATAAGGAAAGGTAACTATATTATAAGGTGGACATTTTGCATGAATTCAGCTATTTTCCTTGCCAGAATTTTAGTCTATAAATAAGAATTGCAGATAGCAGATGGAGGTGTGGAAAACCTTGCACATAGTAACAAGTGTTCAAGGTGTTACTTTAGACAACTTGTGAGCTCATTTTATGTTCCCTGTTTTCTTTGTGTGACTATTTAGTAACGTTTTCACTTGAATTTACACAGACTGAGACAAAATAATTACTTAAATTGTCACAGTTGCTCTCCCAAAGCACAGAGGAAAGTTGAGAAGAATGCTGGATGCCGAGGTCAGTAACTTGCTGAGTAAACACTGCTGACACTTAACGTTTGTTTGACCACATGACTGTTGACGTAAAGAAGTAGCTCATATAAAACAAGGCAAGTTCTCATTTAAACTCTACACTTTTTATTCATTTTAAAATATATTTTTACTGAAATAATGTAGCTGACTTTTTTCTTTACTAAACAGTAAAGATATTAGTCGGAAAATCTTGATCCTTGGTGATTCATAAAATGTAAATCAAGTGCTACCATCACTTAGATTAAGAGTCAATAACATAACAGACGTACATGGGTGAAACAAAATAAAAGGGTCCTGATGATTCACTGAAACCTTTTATAAAGACAATGACTGGTTTGTGGAAAAAAATGAACATTATTAGCATCATTAGTCAACTACCTTTAACTATTTGTCTATAATATGTCTTAGAACAATCAATATATTTAGTGAACTACATTAATGATACCATCATGGTGATTTTTATTAATTGTGAGACTTACCATCTGTATTAATGCATTATTTCATTCATTTATCTATTTATTTAATGTTTAATCCATTACACGTCTTCAGAAATAAAAGGTATTTCAGTGTTGTGCAGAAGAAAGAAATACAATTTTAGAAACAAGATTTCTGTAGCTTAAATCATGAGTGGATTTTAATTTTTGTGTGTACTGTCCCTTTAAATATACTCTGAGGACCCACAACTCTTACTTTAGCAGACACTCAATACGTGTTGAATAAACTCCTTCTCATTTAAGAGATAAAAGAAGTCGTTTACCATAAACTCTCAAGTATTGCACTAAGAGTAAATCATTCTTGTCTGCGTCGTTTAAGTTAGAAACCATATGGTTGTTACGGACGCCACAGGCTCACCTGTCCGCTTTGCAGCCGAAACCATTAGAATAACCTACTGTTATAACTTGGATTTTTATCGCCAAATAGGTTATTTATATATACAGTTGAATAATTGTTTGGATAGATAAAACAATACTATCATATATAACAATTTCATTTCTGTTAACTGTTGTGGCATTTATGAGTGGCACACCCCCGTCAACGCGTGTAGATGGTTTCGTCCTTATTGCTTGGAGGGCTTGTAGAAATTACTGCTTGAGAGAGTTGCAACGTCTGCAGTAGAACACACGGTAAACTTTTGACGTCGTACATAAAAATAACTTAAACAACAACGTGTTAATATATTCAGACATGCAGTGAATTAAGCACCTAGTTTTTCCTTTGTCGTTTTTCTGGATATCTTCTCGGCGACTTAATTTGCTCAAGGTAGGTCCTTTAAACTGCTCACTGAAGCGAAAAGTTTCTCCTTCAGCTCAAGCGAATCACACTTAAAAACTTGACTCAGTGATAAATATATTTTTTTCTTTCGTTGTACTTATGTTTGTTGTTCAGTAGATTGTGAGTGATAACAGTCTGTAAAATGAAAATCTCAGTGATGTGTAGCAGCTCACACATCACATTACATTAACTTTTACAAGTGTACATTGATTTTGTACGTTATTTATTGAGAGTTTTTTGTTTGAGAGATCTGATGTAATTATGATAAGATTATGATTAGATATGCATATGCATTAACCACAGCTGTGTATACAGTCTCACCTGCCTGCCACAGCTGTCATTAACATGTCAGTTCACACACTGTTTTATTGTATAGTGGTTAACAGTCAGATCAGCCTTTTAAATAGAAAATGAAGTTGACAGGTTTGTTGACATATTTTGTCGTATTTTTTTTTGTTTGTTAATAAATTACTTAATTAGCTATCCAAACCTGTACATATACACAGTTGAAGTCAGAATTATTAGCCCCCCTTTGAATTTAAAAAAAATATATTTCCCAAATAATGTTTAACAGAGCAAGGAAATTTTCACAGTATGTCTGATAATATTTTTTTCTTCTGGAGAAAGTCTTTTTTGTTTTGTTTTGGCTAGAATAAAAGCAGCTTTTTATTTTTTAAGAACCATTTTAAGGTCAAAATTATTAGCCCCTTGGAGCAATATCTTTTTCGATATTCCACAGAACAAACCATCCTTATACAATAACTTGCCTAATTACCCTAACCTGCCTAGTTAATCTAATCAACCTAGTTGAGGCCTTAAATGTAATTTTAAGCTGAATATCTTGAAAATATATCTAGTCAAATATTATGTACTGTCATCATGGTAAAAATCATATAAATCAGTTTTAAAAATGAGTTATTAAAACTATTATATTTAGAAATGTGTTTAAAAAATCCGCTCTTTGTTAAACAGAAATTGGGGGAAAAAATTAACAGGAAGGGGGGTAATAATCTAATAATAATAAAACTTTAAATGTATAGAAAGAGATCGATTGGTAGATATTTACAGTCATGTTTTGTCCTCCATGGCAATGAAAATTCATTGAGTTTTACAATAGTAGCATTAAGGATGGCTATTGATATGCTGTTAGGGTCATTTAACCATTTAAGACTTTCTGCTGATTTTGCATCAAGAATTGTAACGGGTATTTTTCACAAAAGTAACAATGTCGTAAAAATTGGACAATAAAATCTTTATTAAAATCAAAGATTAAAGATGATGTCCCCTTTTGTTGTCCACATAAAATTAAATGTACGAAAGAGACTATGTACAAAGAAAACAATAAATGCAAGTGTCTAATGTAAAAAAGGTATATTCCTGAAGTGTTCAGCATAAAATGTATGGATACTTATTCTCACCTGTGTTCATTGAAATATCAAAAATAATATAGGATCATTTACAATTTGATCACATTTCAAATGATTTAGAATGTGTAATAGATAAACTGGTAAAGCAGCCAAGGTAGAATGCTTGAAAATGACAATTAATTAGGCGGCTCAGTGGTTAGTTGTCTCACAGCAAGAAGGTCACTGATTCAAGTGCGACTTGGGTCAGTTGGCATTTCAGTGTGGGGATTGCATGTTCTCCCTGTGTTTGCATAGGTTTCCTATGGGTGCTCCGGTTTCCCCCCCAGTCTAAACACATGTGGTATAGGTGAATTTAGAAAAGTAAATTGAGCGAAGTATATGTATGTAAATGAGTGTGTGGATGTTTCCAAGTACTGGGTTGCAGCTGTAAGGGCATCTGCTGTGTTAAACATATGCTGGATAAGTTGGCGTTTCATTCCGCTGTGGCGACCCCTAATGAATAAAGGGACTAAGCAGAAGGAAAAATGAATGAATGAATATTTAAAAATAGGATGATCACACATAGTCGAGTTTTTTTTCTTTAATGTGTAATTTTATTTTGTGTATCATATTGTGATAGACAGTGCCATCCAGTAGAAGTGTTGATTCTCTGTCTCCCACTTTATCTCAACCACATGTTTTGTCCCGGGACATCGGGTGCTGCTTTGTCATCAAATTCCCATAAATCCCTTGTTTCTCTCTCTCTCTCTCTCTCTCCTCTCTCTCCTCTCTCTCCTCTCTCTCCTCTCTCTCTCTCTTTCTCTCTCTCTCTCTCTCTCTCTCTCTCTCTTTCTCTCTCTCTCTCTCTCTCTCTCTCTCTCTCTCTCTCTCTCTCTCTCTCTCTCTCTTTCTCTCTTGTCATTCTCTCTGAGTCAGGGTTTGATCTCAGAGCATTTACCCTCTCATCATGCTTTCTGTCAGCTCTCTAAAAGAGTCGAGATGTGTGATATCTGTTAACATGCATGTGTTCACCAGATGTGCTCATAGTATTTTGAAGGATCTTATTTGTTCTATTGCACATACTGTATAAGTGATTATGACAGCTATTTGTTTTGAATAGTTTGCTCTATGTGTTTACACCCCTATGCTTACACTTGCTTTTCATTGTTGTTTACTACGCACATGGTGGTTTTATGTCTTGTTTTGTTGAGTGCATTCCCAGCCACCCATTGTACCACATGACCTACGCCACTTCCTCACAAACAAAAATGCATTCAGCTTGTTCTGGCCATGTCCTGCCAGCAGGATTTATATCCCAAGTATGGTTCAGGAACAAATAGCTTTGTGACATTAGATATTTAAAGCTTTATTTGTGGTATTGTGAGTACTAATGTGCAAGTTTTTTTTTTTTCAGGCTAATAAAGGCACTGACACTGAATAAAAATAATAAAAATATAGTGAAAATTTATTTCAAATGTATATTCCTGGAAATATAAATTAAGGGTTTTGTTGTGACATTAAATTAAGCAGAATTATTTCAGTTTTCACAAATTTCATTTGTGATTTAGCATAGCCTACTCAATATGATGTAACATGAATACACCATTTCAATGTGGTCATGTCATTGGCCCATACACATTTCCTGCTTGTTATTAAACTATTTCATAACTGTAACAAGAGGAAATTCAATCATAACGTAATGTTAAAACAGCTATCATAACATTATTTGTCAACATGTGGCTCTTTTGGATTGTACTCTGAAATACCTTGGGGAAGTTGGGGCCATTGTTTTTGTTTACATCCCTCAAAAGGGTCTATACAGTTAAGGTCAGAATTATTAGCCCTCCTGAATTATTTGCCCCCCTGTATATTTTTATACACTATATAGTTTTAATAACTTATTTCTAACAACTGATTTCTTTTATCTTTGCCATGATGGCAGTACATAATATTTTATTAGATATTTTTCAAAATTTTAGTATTTAGCTTAAAGGGCAATTTAAAAGGTTTAGCTAGGTTATTTGGACAAGTTAGAGTAATTAGGCAAGTCATTGTATAATGATGGTTTGTTCTGTGAGAGGGGTCTGGATGCAGACCTGGTGCAGTGCAATCTGGGCTGCATCCAATGCTTTTTAATGGGCTCACCTAACCCCACCCCTAACCCTACCCATCACAGTGACGTCACTCGCTCCATTTGAGTGCATTGTGTCTGACATTGCATTGCTGAGTGATACAATTTCAGCTTGCATCATAAAGGCTGCATCCAGATACTATTGTGTTCTGTAGATTATTGAAAAAAATATAAATTGCTCAAGGCTGGTAATAATATTGACCTTAAAATGGCATTGAAAACATTAAAAACTGTTTTTCTTCTAGCCAAAATAAAACAAATAAAACTTTCTCCAGAAATGAAAATATTATAGGAAATACTTTGAAAACTTCCTTGCTCTGTTATTTATTGTTTGGGAAATATTAAAAAGAAGAAAAAGTCACAGAAAGATGGCTGTACTGTGATGTTATTTTTACACAAATTTTGGCACGCTTGTTAGTAAACACACTGTTTAGAGATGATTTTTGTTTGCCTGTTATAGAAGAAATATTAATTATATCCTAATATTTTTTTCTTTTTACCAAAATGTTAAAATATATTATTACCTTTACCATTAACCTTAGCAGATGCTTTCATCTAAAGTAACGTACAGTGAGTTGGGGTGAAGGGATTCATCATAAAGACACAGTAATCGCAAGTGCTAATACTAAGCTTCTTATTTTGTCAGAAGAATACAAGCCAGAGTAGGTGAGGATTAATAGAAACTTTATTTTCCTTTTGAAATTAAGTGCTCAGAAAAGATGATGCCATTTGAATGTTATAATTAGAATCTGATTGAATAAATATACAGAATATAATAATTCTTCTAGAGTTATTGCAAACATAAAACATATTCAGCACAATCGATTTGTGTTGGGAAAACATGAAGGAATTAAGTTACCTCATTTATTTTGCATATTTAAGTGGACTGAACATAAAACAATTACGCAATACAATTAGTTTGAAACATAAAACAATTAGTTTGTAAAAACAAAAGCAAACATAATTTTTGAGTGTGTGTCTATCTTCAAAAACATTTGAAAGTTGGTTGTTTTGACATTGAACCAATACATTTTATTTGTTTTTCCTGTTTTTTCACAAGAAAGCAATGTTTGGGGTCTAGAAAATGCAAACATTTGCCAATGGGTTTTAAAACAGTAGTGTGGGACTACAAGTGTAAAGTTTTGCCAAGGTCAGAGCCACCAACTGACCTGGCATACACAATACTGCATTTTTAGAGATTGCTTTGACAATGTTGTTGACTGAACTCAAAACTTTAAAAAATACGAATGAAAAATGCTTCATTTTTTTAAGTACACAATTGTCATGTAAACATTTTTAAACAAGTCAGAGTGTGTCAAAAGACAAAACAATAAAAACCCAGATAAGCGTCAGCAAGTCATATTTTGTAATTTCAGCTGATTTGCAAAAAAAAAGTTATTATCATGAAATTGTGGTACTACATTGATTATTATGTTTCTTTAAAAGTTGTGCATTTAATTGGCTATGAGCTGCTTAGTCATGACAGTCAGAGAACCTGCAAACCTAGATTTGAACGTTCTTGTACCTTGTTAAGTAACTTGGATTACCACAGTAGACCTGATATGGGCTCTTGCTTTCACACAGTGTGGTCATGTTACCTCCACATGATGATGTAACTTCCAGAAAGTAAGAAGAGAGGTATATAACTGCATAATGAATGATTTAGTGGCACAGCAGAGATTCAAGAATGGAAATGATCACCGTCTTTTTTCATTTAATATGAAAACACTATTATTCTTTCATAATGAATGTGTTCTGATTGGCTTAAATTGCATTTTGTGGCAAAGCATGATCATATATGGCATCATTTAGAGGATTTTGTTACAGACAAAAGTCAAAACAAATGGCTTTCGGGAACTTTCAGGAAGTTATTAGTGTATTTTACTAATAAGGATGTTTATTTCTTCCTCTCCACAAAAGCCTCAGCAGTAAATTGAGAAGTTGCACAGTGGCTCCCACCACAGGCCTCTGGGATACTGCAGAACGTGGCCCTTGACGCTGGATGACATGTCTCACGGGACTCAAACTACAAGGTGATAAGACAGGAGGTGCTCAGATCAGTCTCCTTTGCAACTGCATTACACCTTATTCATTAGAACTACTGTCATATCCATCCACAGGAGCTGAGGATTGATCGAAAGCTCAGTTCAGAAGACTTCCCATTTTGTTCTATGGAGGTCAAAGGTCGCGTGATCACTGCCATGGGCTTAGGATCACCTGGTAAGCATATTTTATCTTGTATTTATTAGGCTTTGAACAGACTAGTCGACTTTAATGCTTTGTCGTGACGCTTTTTGATTGACATCGACTGGTTGTCAAATCACGTGGTTTGACCTGAACTACATGGCAGCCTTCTACATAACGGTAGGTTCACTGAATAAAACTGCCCTCAGATTATTTAAAGTCATTTTTAAAATGTTATTTGTCATATGTCAGCGTCAGAGATTCACCTGAACTTTGAGTGAACTTTAATTCATCAAACAGATGCTAGTTAACCCAATCCATGCAAATACCCTTGAGCATATGCTAGCCAATCATGTTTACGCAACCCTGGAAAAGTAATGTTATTAGCTGTTGCCCTTTACGAAGCATAGACGCAGACATATTTTGTAAATGAATCATAATCCGCGCAAAAACCGTGCAGTGCGCAAACATCTCAGCGTGTGTAAACATCATCCTCAGTGAACGCGGTGAAGATGTGCAGCAAGGAGACGTCTGATAACCAAGATGAGCCAGTAAGCGCGCACTGTCATAGTGATAAAATATGCTTCTGAGCTAGTCTCTGACAGTGTAATATGGCTTACTGTTATAGCCTTTGTCTTTCATGCGTTATGTTATGAATAACTTCACATAAATCTGTGTGCTGAGGATGTTTGCATTATTTCTGCACTAAAATATCTGTTATTGTTAAATTCTTACTAGTATGTGCAGTGATCAATGTGTTACTGCATTTATTTAGCGGTAAAATTAACCCGGGTGCTAATGTTGCATTATTAATGGAGCAAAAGTGTTGACAATACATTTGTTTTGCACTAAAATGAATCATTGGTAATGTTGCCTTGTTTTTGCAATGTGTTATGAGCTGTCAAATAGCATGTGTATATATTTCTTGCAAATAAATCGCAAAATGTGGCATGTTGCAAAACAGTTGCATCTTTTGCAATCTTGCATCTTTCAAAAATCTAAAGTCATTCAGCCTCTAGCATTTATGCATGATATATTAATATACAGCTATTGAAAATGTTTATTTTAGTTTGATCCCATAAAGGTCAACTTCAGTGGAAACGATATTATGATGTCAAAGATGATTGTAAATAACTGAAAACATAGAACCTTTTGTTGTTTTATGTAAACATGGTTTAATTAGCTACAATCTTGTTTAAAATTCATCAGTAGTTTACAGAATAAAACTAAAATGATTTTTAACCTAAGCGCATAATGGGCTTCATGCACAGCTAGTGTTTTTCTGACAATGATAAACTTCTGAAATGTTAATGTGACTAGTTTAAATTTGTAAGGCTCTTTTTACAGCATCAACATCGTAATGTTATTAAAATATAATGAGTTAAATAAATTTGACCATTAAGCTGTTGGGCTGGCTGTCTGAAAATTGAAAGTCTGTTTGCATATACCCGCTTCCAAATTTCCAGACTTTTCAAGTGGTCCTAATATTTTTATAGCTGTATGTGGAATATTTAAATGTGTTTATATGCATACTATATTGTTTTGTGTAGTTTTTTTTTTTTTGTGTTAGTTGATTTTGTTTTTTAATTCGTACCATTCGTACGTTATAAATGGGTATGGAGCCATATTTATTTTTACAAATCCCAAACATTTCATTGTAAATGTGTATAAATATATAATTTAATTTTTTTTTTATTATGTTGACTAAGTTTTCAAAATAATACATCTTCAAAAAAAGGGAGAAGGGAAAAAAAAGCTTAAAATATACAAAAAAATTAAAAACATTGCTTATTTTCCAGATTATAATAGTTATTATTTTTAACTCTATTTAATTAACAGCTTTTTAATATTGCCGAAGGTTAACAGTTTTACATTTTAATCTTTCTGTCTCATGTAATTCATGCTCATGCTTAGATGTCCAAGGCTGCCAGGACAGCAAACTACAAGCAGAGCGAGTCTCAGAGCTGCAGGAGCGAAAACAGAGTCTGCAGAGTCTTCTGAACAGTCGACTTGGAGAACTGCGACAAGTCTGTCTCCTGGAGGCGGTGAGAGATGCTTTATTCAACTCTGGAACAATATTTGACTTTAAGGCAGCTGCTATGAAATATTGCTCGCTCAAAGAAACAAACACAAAATGCTGACTTTAGCACTGAAGGCAATGTGCACGCAGCTGTTTCACAAAGTTTCTAGGTCTGCATGATTTATTTATATTTCATTTTCTCTCCCTCTCTGTTGTGAAAGGGAATTATTTAATTTCATGTGTGACATTTTAAAGATTTGTCTTCATATGGAGGACTGTTTGTGTTTTTCCAAATGGCAGAACTGCCAAAAATATAAATAAATAAATAAATCAGACCTTCGTGTACTTATTAGAACAATCTGTTCTAACTAATGGCGTCAAGCGGTCTGATATTTTGTAATGAAGTGATTAGAAACAAAGTAAAAATTACAATGTCTGTACAGGAGCTCACAGGAAAACTTCCACGGGATTTTCCTTTAGAAGAAGGAGAACGACCTCCATTTGTTCAACGCCGATCTGGATTGCCTCCTTATGTCACCTCAAAAGGAGACGTGAGTCTGTTTCATAAAACCTTTTGTAAAAATGTAGTATTAAAGTTTAAAAGTAATGTAAGTCATGGTATAATTTTTAGACTATTATTAATTAGTGTTTTAAAATAAAAAGTTTGTATTTGTATAATGCTGTGTGTGTACATAAATATTGTGTGTATATATAAATATAAGTATATAAAATAACAAAAAATGCAAAACCAAAACATTTACATATATTTTTACACTACATAGGGAAAGTGGTCATATTTTACACATTTTTTTTATGTTACAGCCTTATTAAAAAAAAGATTAAATTCATTTATTTCCTCAATTCTACACAATACATTATAATGTCAATGTAAAAAACATTTTTTTCGAAATTGTTGCAAATTTATTAGAAATAAAAAACCTGAAAAGTACACATGTACATGAGTATTCACAGCCTTTGCTCAGTACTTTGTTGATGCACCTTTGGCAGCATTTACAACCTCAAGTCTTTATGAATATGATGCCACAAGGTTGGCACACCTGATTTCCTGCCATTTTCTGATCTCTCCAGAGATGTTCAATGTGATTTAGGCCTGGGCTCAGGCTGGGCCACTCAAGGACATTCACCGAGTTGTTGTGAAGCCACTTCATTGATATTTTGAAGAAATAAATTAATTTAATCCATTTTGAAATAAATGCAACATAAGTGAAGCGTTATGAATGCTTTCCGGATGCACTAAATATAATTTGTACAGACCTCTTTAAGGGGTGTAAAAAAACAATGGTCCTAATGTATTTCCTGTTTTACATTTTTAATTTTCATAGCTTTCGAAAGTTCAAAAAGAGCCACATATTGATAAATGTTATGATCGCTGTTTTATGATTGAATTTCCTCTTGTTACAGTTATAAAATAGTTTGATAACAAGAAGGAAATGTTTATGGCCCAATGGCATAACCACATTGTATCTATTTGAGAAAATGTTTATTTATATTTAAAAAATGTAATAATGACATCTTACAGAGGTCTTTAAAATGTCATTATTACATTTTTAAATATAAATAAACATTTTCTCAAATATATACATGCATGTTTGTATTTATATGTATATACAGAATGCATATCGTATGATAGGCCTGCTTATAATGAACACTTTGACACTAACACCACTGCTGTCACTCAAACAGTTATTACATTAAAACATTTAAAAAACATGAATATGTGAAAAACCTACTTTTGCGTACTAGTCCCTGGTTTTTTAGATTAATCGCGATGAAAACAAGTGTTGTATGAATCTCTGGACTGATTAGATCATGTATTGAAAAATAGTTTAACTTTCCTTTTTGGATAGCTGTAACAGGCTCATTTACAGAAAGGACATGTCTACATAAACCTACATGCCTGTAAACACATTGAAAACTCAAAACATCACAGAATTTGGTAAACAATGTAGCATATGAATGTAAACAAGCATGCAAAATGTAGTTAATCGGGCAATAGGTGGCACTATAATAGTAGAAAAGGTCTTAAAAAACAGTTTCAATGAGTGTTGATGCTTAATAGAGTTTTAATTACCATTTTAGCCACTAGATGGATCAACTTGAAGTTTGACATGCAGTGTATGTCAAAGTGGAGTGACATACTATACAAAGTTATATTAGCCAAAAAAATATGAGCAGCCATTAAACAAAGTTAACGATGGCCGATCAGAATGAAACTCTGTGTGCATGTTGGACTCATGGACTCAAGTAGCACAGTAACTTGCGTAAATTCAAGCCTTTATTTTGGATCATGATTTAGTCACAATTAATCTTCAATCAGATTTATTTTTAATATGTTCCTTGAAAGCTTGTCAGTAAATATACACTGCTTTGAATGGCTAATGTCACTGCATAGGAAACAGCATCAAGGTCCCCCAGCTATTGCAGAAGAATAAGGGTTTGACAGTGTCATTCACATAAATACGTCAGTCACAAACAAAGCATTATTAAATTTATTAAAAACTTAAATATTGGATGCAGCAGCTGTCAGATTCTGACTGTTTTTCTTTGCTATCTCTCCATTACACAGTTTCTCATTTACAAAACAGTCTGCAGTCAAATGCTCTGAATAAAAACATGTAATAATTCAAAACGATTCATCACACAATTAAAAATAAACCATCCATTGTTTCCTGATACCTCCCTACATCCTCTTGAAGTCTATACTGAGACACAAACAAGCTGTTCAAACCAAAAGTGTCAAAGCTCAAGGTTTTTTCCCCTCTTCAGTTGTCTTGTTTATCAGTACACTGGGGTGTGTAGGAAAAGGGAGAAACTGAACACACATCTGTGTACGGTATCTATTGTAGACTGCAGCAGTGATTTATAATGAATCTGTTTATGTTCGACGTGACGTGAGATGAAGCTAACATTTGCTCTACTCAAGTGTGAGTCATTGAGCGAGTGAATGCCATTGTCGATGCTATGGAGGTGGTGTATATGCAAATGATTGCATCCATGTGATGTCACATTTTTACAATTTAACTAAATGAATTCTGTCCATAATGATGAGGACATTTTAAGTGGTGAATGGTTGTTTTTGGAACAAAGTCCTTTTATATGTCAAAAGATCGAGGCAACTTTTGTGTGTCATGACCTCTTTAAAAGGATAGTTCACCCAAAAATGAACATTTTGTCATCCTTTACACATCCTCCACTTGTTATAAACCTGTTTGAGTTTCTATCTTCTCTTGAACAGGGGCGGATTTAGTGATTTTGGGGCCCTAAGCAATTCCAGCCATAGGGCCCAAGTCCTTAAATGCAGCCTTTTACTTTTATTTAAATTGTATTTATATTGCTGTTTTTTTTATATCACTCAATCTTCTTTTTGACATTTCAAATTAACACAATCTTTACATTGTAAATGATTAGTTTTCTTAAAATGAATTTACAGCTAAAAATAATAAATATACTTGTATTTACATTTTACTGCTGGACTGCTCCATAATGCATATTTTATTTTGTAATATTATTATTATTATTATTACATTACATAATTATAATAATATTATATTCGATTGTACATTAAATAATATTTAATAATGCTAAATTTTTTTTGTAACTCTTACCATACAAAATATGGTAGAAATCAATGTTATATATAGTTTAAAGGTATAATTAATACTTCTAGATATTTATTGAGAGCCCCCAGATTTCCTGGGGCCCCAAGCGGCCGCTTACCTCGCCTATTGGTTAAATCCGCCCCTGCTCTTGAACACAAAAGAAGACATTTTGAAGAATGTTGGAAAGCAGCAGTCCTTGACATCTATAGTATTTTTTGTTCCTACTATGGATGTCAATAGGTGTTTTCTTCAGAATTTCTTCATTTGTGTTCAACAGAAGAAAGAAACCACTTGAGTGTGAGTAAACATTTGGGAAATGTCATTTTTTTGTGAACTGTCCTTTTAATACAATAATGAGCATATATTTTTTACATGTAGGATGACGCAGGTCAGCGGCGGCAGATGAAGGCTCTCTTTAGTGGTGCCCTTCGCCGGAGCATTGATTCTGATAAAAATGCACTGCACAGTAAGAGGACTGTTCATCGGGGATGCCATACAGGTAATGTTCAACACGCACAAATCGCACAAATGGTAATTTGCTAAAAAGGTCATACATTAGGAACGGCTTAACAGGATGTGCATGGTAACGGAGTCATTTCCCTTCATTATCCAAAACCATTGCCTTTGCTTGAAAGGGACAATAGACACATGTCGACAGACTTTGACATTTATAAATGACTTGATTATGTACTTTAAACAAATAGCTTACATAAACAGTTTAGATTAGAAAACTGTGCCTTTGCTTTGACGTCAGTGCCACCAACAAATGCTTTTTTTAAATGTGGCCTTTTGCCATGCTGTTCAAACGTTTGAATATAATTTATATATAGGATTAAATTAAAATTTATATCACTGTGTGTGTGTATGTATATGTATATGTATGTATATATATACATATATATATATATATATATATATATATATATATATAAAGTGACAATTATTAGCTTTTCTATAATTGTTTGTCTTTTTCAAATATTTCCCAATTGAAGTTTAACAGAGCAGGGACTTTTTCACAGTAATTCCTATAATATTTGTTCTCCTGGAGAAAGTTTTATTTGATTTGTTTCAGCTAGAATAAAGGCACTTTTTAATTAAAAAACATTTTAAGGTCAAGTTTATTAGCCACTTTAAGCAATGTTTTTTGATTGTCTGCAGAACAAACCTTTGTTATACATTGACTTGCCTAATTACCTTAACTTGCCTTATTAACCTACAGTGTTGTGTAAGTTAATTTAAAAATGTAATAGATTACTAATTACTGACTACTATTGGAAACTTGTAATTTGATTACATTACTCATTACTTTATTTAAAAAGTAATCAAATTAGTAACTCCAAAAGTCATAAAACATATAAACATAAAAACATATAAAAATAGAAAATAAACTGCAGCTCTTTCAGTAATTTAATATTCACTGAGAAAAATTACAATGGGTAGATCACAGCAGCTTGACATGATCAAAAGACTTAAAGAGTTTGTCCAAAACTTTAAAATTCTCTCATAATTCACTTGTTGCAAACTTGTTTGTCTTTTTTTTAACACAAAAGAAGACATTTAGAAGAAAACTGAGTACATGTTACTATTGACATCCATAGTATAAAAAAGCACTGCAGTGTTTGGGTGTTCTGTGTTTGTCTGAGGTAATTAGCCTAACGAAATGTGTATAGTGCATACAAAATATGAAGCTGATCAGTCAGTTTTGTCACGTGACTCAGGGTTTTCAACTGAGTTCCCCTGGAAAATGCTAGTGCGTGCAAAAGATGCCATATGTGAACGGCCCCATGAGCAGCTATGGTTTCTTAGCATTCAAAAATTATATACACTCCCGTGCCTGCACAAACATCCAATTTAGTTTAGAGTTGGACCGCTGTTGGACTGCTTTTTGGATGCCAATGTCGTCCTTAGTGATGAGTGTTGTCATAGAAGGCTTTCTACTCAAGTGCTTGAAGAAGTTGCTGGTCCAGATTAAAGCAGTAGAAAGTTCTTTAGAGACTGGTCATAGATGCATTTTATAGCATTTCTTTTTGTTTTTACGCTAAATGAAAAAAGTAATGTCTGTATTTCAACTTGAAGAAGCAAAATGTGACCTAAAAAGCATTTTTTTTTTACTAAAAACTATATTTGTAACTTAAGTAATGCGATTTACATTGACTTTAGTAACTGTAATCAAATTACACAAAATTAAAAAATAATTCATTACATTACTGCGTTCCCCAAAAATGTGATTAGAATACAGTAACGCATTACTTTGGAATGCATTACACGCAAATCTGACCTAATTACCCTAGTTAAGCCTTAAATGTCACTTTAAGCTGAATACTAGTATCTTGAAAATCATCTAGTATGAAATTTTATGTACTGTCATCATGGCATAGATTAAAGAAATAAGTTGTTGAATATAAGATATTGAAACTATTATATTTAGAAATGTGTTGAAAAAAGCAGAAATTGGGGGGAAAATATACAGGGGAGCTAATAATTCTGACTCCAACCGTATGTATATGTGTGTGTATTTTTTAAAGAAAACTGTAATAAGATTTTATTATTAGCAGTAGAAGAATTTAATCTTTCTGTACTTTTCATTCCTATCCTGTGCATGTCATTTCTAATATTTAAAGAGGAAACTGTGAAGTCAGAGAGCAGTTCGATGTCAGACTCCACATCACATGACAACGGTGAGGCTATTCTGAAATAATGAAAGTACATCTCAATACTCTGATTTGTCCTCACCGGCCTGTTCATGACAGGTGTTAACTGATGTTGTACAACCCTGTCATCTGTGCTTTACAGAGGACTCATCTCCCAGTGTGGCACCTGAGCATCGCTCCCTGTCTCACCCTCGTCTGGCCCCGAGCAGTCCTGACAGTCGGCTCTGCAGAAAACTATCGCCTGTGGAGATTTACTATGAGATGAGGACTCGGCGCAACTCTGCCTCAAGCTCTGTGAGGTATGCTGAGGGGATGGAAGAACTGTTATTATACTAGACCAAATGGTTTACTTTACATAACATTTATAACAAAGGAATGTATGCATGTTCCTTCAGCCCAAGCCACTCACTCCCGAGAAGTGCATCTAATGTGGAGGGCAGAAGTGTTCCAGCCACACCACTGTTGTCCCGCACCGCACCTATCAGCGTCCATGTGAGGTAATGACCTGATGAGATGTCAGTTATGAGCGTATCAACTTGCAACACAGATATTTTCATATAGGTTTGTTACAAAGGCAGAAATACACATAAATATCTAGGGCTCATTGACATTATGTTGACATTTCAACCCAACACCCAGGCTGTCTATTAAAAAGTTCAACAAAGACTTTATTTTCGGAGGAAACTTAGAGATCATGTCGGGTTTGTACCTCTATGATGACACTGTTTTATAAACCATTTATTGAATCCATTTGATCTTTCTGCATTGTAGCACAGTAATCTGAGTTTGTCAAATAAGAACTGGTTGAGTAGCCTTGTGAAGGTGACAGGCAAGATCATCATCGGTTTTAACCAAACTGGTCCAATGGTAATTTACTGTAGAGCTTAGGGTATCTTATGCACCCCGCATCATCCATTGTGCTGTGTTTCAGCTGCTGCTATCAGGACCTATTTGCAGGACAAACAGAATTAGACATTCTTTTATAATGGTGGTCATTACATGAGTCCAGCGGGGAGGGAAATGCATCTAAAAAAATTATGTATGTTGTGTGGTAATATTTTGTTAACGTGTACATGAAATTTCGCCATTGTTACGGCACCTTGCTGCAATTTTAGTTTTCTTAAATGGGATAATAAATTTAAGTCTAAGTCTGATACAAGAATAAACTTACATCATTCAAAGGTTTGCCGTAAAGATTTAAAAAAGCTCATTAAGGTTTCATTTATTTGATCAAAAACAGTAATAATGTGCAATGGTATTTTTGAATTAACTAGAAGTTTTTAATACATTGAATTGAAAGTTGAATTTTCTTCTCAAACTAACCTGAAAACACACTAACCCAACTGTTTGAATACACTTCACAAAAATGTTCAGGATAAATAATTTTTAAAAAAAGTTATTTTATTCATTCTTTTCAGTGCAGAATGAACTCTTTCTTGCTTTGTCTGCAGTTTTTTCACACATAGGCAAGGCAAGTTTATTTATATAGCACATTTCATACACAATGGAAATTCAAAGTGTTTTACATAAACAAGAATACAAAAAACAAGAAAATAAAAACAATTAAAAAAAAAGAAAAATTATTACAAACGTTCTCTTGCTTTACTGCAATGGATAATGCAGTGCCAAAATAAAGTATTTTTCCAGACAGCATCACTTTCTATTAGTTCAGGAGTGCAGTTTCAGGCGCCTTTTTTCAGCTCAGTAGATTAACACTATAGATCCACTTTAGATTCAGATATGCATTCAAAAAAATCTCATTACCTCTAATAACTTCTGACTGTCTGATCTTCTTCTCTTGCTAGGCCGGAGGTGTCTGGTGGCATTGCACTAAAGCAGTGGTGCGGAAGTCCGGATGTTCCTCAGTTTGTCCCATTGGCATCTCTGGAGGGTTCTTCGTCAGAGCGTCGCAGCTGCCCGTACAGCTCTCGAGCCCGTCGTAGCAACAGTTCAGAGGCGCTACTTGACCGCTCAAGCCTTCCTGAACCCGCACCTCCCCGAAATGGCATGCCAAACCGAGCTGGACCATACAAGAGCTCCGAGTCCCTCACTGATGGCAAGCTCCGTCAGATATACCAAGGCAGCCCAGAGAGGCAGTTGATGGGATTTAAAGACCAGGGTCGCATGCGCTCCTCTCTTGGAGGACAAAGCAGTGGCACTGGTTACAACGAGATTTTAATGGACTACATTTGGGGTAAACAGCAAAAGAGGCCTGTCCAGATTCCGCAAAGCCAGTCAGCAGGACGAATCTGGCCGGACTTCTCCACTCCTCCTTCGGGTACTCCTCCACATTATAATGGTTTCTCTCATTCGCAGTTACATCTGGCCACCGCTCCCTCTTCCTATAGCCCAATGCTGTTGCGGGGCCAAGAAGCCGAGCCCCGTCGGGTCAAAGTGACGAGAACAAAATCCTGCGGACCCTTCATCCCTTTACAGCAGCACCCACAGGATGCGGTGCTGTTCTCTGCGTATGATCCTTCATCAGCGTCCACCACCTCGTCTATTCCCAATCTGCTCCCTCACCACACTGAGCTGTCCACCGCTGCATCGTTCAGCCGCAGACCAGCTCAGTTCTCTCTGCCTACTCCCGAGGACTCGACCCGCAGTCTACACAAGGCACTGGCTCTGGAGGGCCTGCGGGACTGGTATCTGAGGAACGCCTTGGGCTACTCCACTACAGCCAAAGGCCATGATGGACTGTCCATGCGCCACTCACACACTCACCACCTGGTGCACCAGCCTCAGTCCATTGCAGCCGACCCACTGTACTCCGTACACCGTCAAATACCTCAGTCAGCTTCATTTCACGGCCATCCTTTGCATGCCAGGTGAGTTTGCCACTTTTCATTTCACTACACAGCAGGGATTTAATGGTTCTGGAAAAGCTGAAAATAGAAGTGAGTTTTCCAAAAGGGACTTTTGATGGATTGGAAATGTCATGGATGTTGCTATATTAAAATGCTGCTTATCCTGCAGTTTACTCACTAACTACTTTAATAAGTACACTTTGTTAGTACCCCGGTTGTACCCAAACGATCTGAATTGTCTGGATCTTTTGACATAAGAGCTCATAGTGGTATAAAAACATCCTGTTAGTTACAAAACTCAAAACTTTGTGGGTTTTTTTTTTTTAAATTATTTATATTGAAGATCGTCTGAAAAATGAGAGGTTATGGAAGGCTCTATGATGTAATAGGGTGGATAAGCTTCACCTCTGCAGAATCCAATACCCACTTCTACTTTAGCACGTCATGATTAGTATGATGCGATCCTCGATTAACATCTATGCAACACTTTTGTACAAAAAATGTAATTCATACCTATTCCCTACCCCTAAACCCAACCATAACTGTTAATTATTCCCAAAATCAGAGGGGAATAAAAGTTGGATAACAATCATGTAGAAGTGCATAAACCAGTAAACCTAAACTTTACATAAATGGTAAATGGCTGATTGGAATGTTGTTCCATGATCGACATAGAGGTTAATCCAGGAACATGTCCTACTTGGTGAAATCAGCTTGGCGTTCTAGTTCACTGCCTGTTTACCCTGTTAGTATCAAAACTATCAGTTTGAATATGTGTTATCAATCAGTTAAACAGGTGCACCTAATAAAGTGTATACAGTTGAAGTCTGAATTATTAGCGCTTCTGTTCAGTTTAAATTCTTTTGTATTCCCCACCTCATTTCTTTTTAACAGAGAGAATATTTTTTTAGAGGGAGACAAAATATTATAGGGAATACTGTAAAAATTTCATAGCTCTATTAAACATCATTTGGGATATACATGACAAAGAAATCACATGAGGGCTAATAATTCGAGAAGGGTATAAACTGAGGTCGGAGCCAGCTCCAAGTGGGTGGGCCTTGGAGCTCCAAATGGGCTGTGCAAACCTTATTTAGTTGTATTTAGAGTTCAATATTGTGCTTTATGAATGTGTACACCTAACCCTAAACCCAACCTCACAGTAACCTGTTGAGTTTTATGAACGTCTACACCTAAACCCAACCTCACAGTAACCTGATAAACCCAACCTACTTGTGATTTATAAGTCCCTCCCACTTGGAGGTCACCCAACCTACTTGCGGTGTAATCCCTCCCACTTGCAGATCTCCGGGCTGAAGCGATACCTACTTGAATAATTCTGACTTATATATATTACATTGGTAAGGACTGAATTGTTTAAGATAAATGCAAGACAAATGACCATTAACAGTTTGATCTTCACCCTTCTTTATGACAGGTCTGTGGAGCTCTCTCTGTACCCAGAGCCCTTTCCTTCAGAAGGGACCACTCAGAAAGAGTCCGGCTCTGAGCCTCCTTCACCTGGAACACTGGTCTGACCAGCAGCCAAACACACACCGGATTTGAAATGCAACATATATATAATAATATTTGATGCAAAATTACATCTATAGGTATGCAACAGTCCGAAACTGTGCTCAAATACTAGAACAAAAATATATAATGCATTCTTTGTAGCATAAATGCTGCCTCACAATAAAAAAGAAAGCAAAACAAAACAGCATTTAATTTAAACATTAAAATATACCAAGTGGTGCTCACTGCAGAGCTATTTGGGCAGAGCTGAGCTCCAGTGAGCTTGAGCTCTCGCTCCTCCTTTCTTTCACTTCTTCTACGAGTGATGTCACTGGGGGTAGGGTTAGGGGTGGGGTTGGTGCACGCATTAAAACAGCTTATAGCAGGAGGAGCGAGAGCTCATGCTCCCCCTCGCTGGAGCTCAGCTCTGCACAAATGGCTCTGCAGCGAGCAGTGTTTCAAATATACAGCTTTGAAAAAATAAGGCCTTTGAAAATTCACAATTGAATTAACAATTGACAGTTATGTTTTTGAATAAATGCTTTTGGTTTTATTCTGTGAACTTCAAGTTTGAAATAAAAATATTGTCGTTTAGAGCATATTTTTGCAAAATATGGCATGTTCGTTCATTCATTCATTAGTTGATTTTCTTTTCGGCTTAGTCCCTTTATTATTCCACCACAGCAGAATGAACCACCAACTTATCCAGCATATGTTTTACGCAGTAGATGCCCTTCTAGTTGCAACCCATCACGGGGAAACATGGCATTTTAAGACATTTTAATATACATTTTTTACATAACAAAATTCTAATGGTTTAGCTTCAAAAGAGCTAATAAATTAATATTTGTAAACAACCAGGATTGTCAATCCAACGACTGAAAGCATTTTTATTCTGACCAATCGTCATTTGAACTTGTTCTGAAAAAAATGTATTTCAAATGTTATCAGACCTTAACAGAATAAAACAAATTTACAATTGACTAAACTCATACCAAATGAGTCCAGAGAAACTGAAAAGTGGAGTCTTTATTTTTTCCCCAAAGCTTTATACAATTGTATAAATTGTCATTATTTAAAAGTTAATGTATTGTACTACACATAACTCTGAAGTTGGTGCATCCCTACATTGATCATTAAACAACAGAAATAATAAGCAGTGTGTTGGCTGTCAGATTTAGCGCTGCGTTTGATTGTAAACTGGTGTTTACAAAGAGATTTTTATTTCCCTCATACTCTGTGTGTATTAATGGGATGTTATTGTAATGTATCTTCATTTTCAAAACAGAATATAAACTGAATCATCTCCTCTTCATCCTGAGATATACATATAAATATATTTTCAGAGAAAAAATCTAGATTATAAGATGTATGTATTCTGAATTACTATTTTGTAACTAATGTTTCAGGTTAATCCTCATTTAATTATATACAAGTCTACTCAGAGTTTAATGAACTCATGCATTTTAATGTACTATAACAGCAGTGAATGTGTTGCATACCTGTTTGTTTAAATCTATATATCTAAATATCTATATGTAGCTATGAAGAGTATGATAAAAGCATTTCCATATAGAGGGACCCTGAGGTGAGGAAGGAGGGCTTTTGTCTGATTTCTGAAACTAATTTTAAAACTTTAATGCAGTGATTTAGCCCTCAGTCAATGAATTTACAAAATCAAAAGGACTGATGATGTAAAATTAATGTGACTGTGAACTGAGAATGCAAACGAAATCATTAAACAACGTAAACATGCATGAGGTTTTAAAATAAATCAATCCATCTCTATTAAAGCCTTAATACAGAGTCAAAAATATATTTATTATTTAGTTGCTTTTGTTATTTTTTAACATAAATAACTTTAAAACATTAAATTGGCATCAGACTCTGTGTATAGCTTTGGAGCTAATATTGGTATCAACTATTTTATATTTTGACATCTGAATTAATAAGCCCTTTAATAAATATAAGAAATTAGACCAATTTTAACTAACTTGTAGTTTACGTGTTGAGAAGTGGCATAAGCTGGTCTTATGTCAGCACTATTTGGGAACAAGATACCTTGTATTTGTCTTAACCAGTCAGCATGTTCTTATTTACAGTAAGTTCTTAAAGGGATAGTTTAAATTAAAGTTTCAGACATATTTTACCCAATCTCATGTTAATCTTGAGTACCAATAAAGTATTACTGCATCCATATTTTGACCAAAAATCATTGTTTTTTTTATAGTAATAAACAAAAGATATGGATTCCCTCTCGAAAACCAATGGTGTGAAAGCGCAGTACAGCTTTTGCTTAACAATCTACTACCTGTGAAATTCAACCAAAAGCACAGTTATTTGAAACCTACATGCTCTTTGTTTACAATTTGTGCAGCACTAAGTGCGTGAAAGGGCTGTTTTCAAAGTCTTTATAAGAAATAATGTAGAACAAGCTACCTAGCTTTGGAAAAAACAGTATCATTGAAATGAATAGGTTTCATAGTGCGCCGCTTTCCGTGTCCTGTGTGAAAGCCGCTTTATGTTGACTGAGTGAAGTGTGTTGATGGCCGTGATCTCGCTCTCACTGTAGTAGACTCTACCATTGGAATTGACTATATAAGAAGTTCCATCCTTAATTACGTCAGCTAGAGCCATGTTTATATAAACACTGGCAGTACAATTTTTGACAAAGAAAACACTTAGTTGTGTGCTAATAGTGTTTTAGCATTTGGTTTATGATTTGCATGAGAATCCATCTCTTTCACACTGTAAATTACTGAATAACACCGTAAATAATACCGAAATTACAGTTTATTTACTCACTCAATACACATGTCATAGGTATGTAGATAATTTTAATCTTCAGTATTTCGTCAATATCTGACTTTTTTTGCTGATTTTTAGCTGTTGACTTGCATTTTATGAATCATCAAGGATCTTTAAAGGGATCCTCCCACAATAAAGATTAAATCACAATTTCTTCACCTTGAAATAGCTCCAAGGCTTTATGAGTTTCTTTTTTTCAGTTGAACGCAAAAGTAGATATTTTGAAAAATGTTAAAATGGGAGCTATATTTTTCCCCCCCTTAAATTTATGTAATGGCGGCACACATCTTTACCAGACTCAGGCAAGATTCCGCCTTTGCTTTTACTTCGCCCTAGAGCCCCAACTGGCTCACTTTGGCCCAAGGTATTCGGCGGCTAAAAACTGGCACTGGCTCGCTCATTTTAAGCGTGAAAGTGGAAATGCGAATTTTTTACGACCAGTTTTACAGTATTTAAAAAAACTAAAACTTGCGTGTTTAAAAAAAGAAAGAAATACGAACGGTTGAATAAAAATAGGTACATCTACATTGCGCAACCTAAATTAACAGTATGTTTTCTTTGTTTTCCTCAGAACTATCCCTTTAACAATTTACTATTTCTTTTTTGTACTATTTTCTTCCTAAAACAAACAAAAATATGAATTCTGTCAAATTCCTTTTAATTTCTGGTGTGTTGTACAGTTGTTTCTGATGATCAGTACAATATGGTGTATACACTGTATGAAATACAAGACTGTAGGTTGATTTTTGCCCTTGTAAAACCTATGAACTGCAAAATCTGCAGAACATGGGACATGGTATGATGTTTACGTTGTGAACAATGATGGTCCAATTAATACTTGGTTCATTCAACTTAAAGAATTTGTGTGTAGTTCCTACTCTTCATCTTCGGGTTTGTGAGCTGGTATCTGAAACTCATGACCAAACAGCTGTGCATTGCTAGTCTCTTTAAGTGTATTTTGGTGACATAAATGTCTGTACTTGTAATTAATTATAAATAACGAGAAACACCTATATGTAGCAACTTGAATAAATATATATTGTATATTTATGAACTGATCAGATTTTGTATACATATTTATTTGCATAGTACATGCCTCTGGTTTGTTTACACCAGCAGATCTCGTTATGAATGACACCATGTTCTGGCTTTATATTCTATCATCGCTGCTTTTAGAATCATTAATACATTGCTGATTTATTTTAAAATATACCTTTTTCATCGTTTTTTTTTTTTATTTTTCATATCAACCATGGTCTGAGAAAAAAAAAATCATAATAAAGATCATGAAACAAAGTCTTGATTTTTCCACATTGTCTCACACTTATTATGATTAAACACAAAACCCAATGTAAGTGCAATTTTTTTTCTGGCTCACTCTCTGAAAGGCTGTTCGGTTCACATTACGTTTATCCTTGCTCATATTATTTTCACGTTTCACTGAGCACTTGGAATGTGTTGGACTTGTTTGCAAGCTACTTGTGCTTCCCTCCTGTTCAAATAGTTGCAAAGAAAGCCTTCTTTTAGATTTTCTATTGTTATGCAAGTCTGTTAACACTTTAATTGGATTTCTCCATATGTTTTAAGCATAAATATAATTTAGTGAGGTTAATCTTGAAAGAAAACATTTTGTTATAGTAAGGATAATTTGTTGCCACCACTTCAGTGTCTGAAGTGCTAGTGTTTCACTTAAATTTTCTGAAAACAAACTTTGTACGATCAATTCAAGAGCATATTTTAAAATTAAGGACAATAAAGGTGTGATGTGACCACCAGGTGAAATCAAGTTCACTTGACAGGTGCTGTTTGTTTAATCTGACCTCCAGGTGGCGGTATGTATCTTATAAGGAGACCATGGAGTGTAAAAAAAAACACTAGTTGATTTATAAACATAGTTGACACGTGTCATCTTCCAGCAACATGGAGAATTTGGTAATCTTAAAATAAATGTTTTACGAAATTTCCTATCAGAATCTGAAATATATACATTCGAAATAATAAATAATGCACTTATGGCATCATCTGCAGAGGGCTTATTTAAGCTGTGTATTTGGTTTCTCCAGTGGTAAAAATAGATGTGGTTTTTCAGTACTGTTTGTGCTGAGACCGTTTGGAATGACTTTATTATTAGAAACTTTGATTTCTGCCATTGTTTCTGTCAATACAAACCGTTGCGAACGAATTGAATCATGAGTCGGTTCGGTTGAATCACTGACTAAACGATCCAGGCGTAAACAACAACAAACTGGTCAAACGTTTTAATGAAAAACAACTTTAACTTCATAGTCGATTCAAATACAATGGTATGTATCACTTATTTTACTGTAATATCATTTATCTTAACCTAGATATTGTTGACATTCAACAAAAAATTGAAGAATGAAAATTAGCCGTTTACCACAACAAACTAAAACACTAACTTAAACTTGCTTTAACCATAGCAGGCTATTTGTTGTAAAATGTATAAAAATCTGTTTAATAATCTTGCACACACACACACACACGATAGAAGAGCATTCAGACTTACGACACGAGAATATGCGTGACATTTAGGCACATTCGCGTATGTATTTAGCAGTGTTTACCAATGTTACCATGACAGTTTTCGATCCTTGGCCTAGTTTGGATTCGCGTTTTCTGTCAGGGGGTGTTTATTCCCCTAAAAGACCTCCGGTCAGACATTCCTCGCGGCTCAGATCTGCCCAGAGGAGGTGAGAGAGCGAATTACAGGGTCAGCTGAGAGAGAGAGGGAGCGAGAGAGCACAGATGATCAGTGTGTGTGTGTGCATTTGCGTCCTCGCAGGTTTAACAGAAGGTCCTTAAGAGAAAGAGACATTTCGTAAAAGGCAAAGAAAGATCCTCACTGAAAGTAAGCCACGTTTTCTCTCTTTTATGCTTGAAGTGTTTTAACATTCTTGCATTTTTGCAATTTTAATTGATTTATGAATATTTTGGAAGCATAGTACTTATCTTTTATGATTTAGATTATATAATATTTATTAAGTTTTTATGTAATGTATGTTTATAGCTAATAATGCGGCATTGCCTGCCGTATGCCGAGCCATTCATTTATTTATAAATATTCTTGACAACTTACTGGATACATTGGTCTTGAGTAAAATGTTATTAATATTTTTTGTATTCTATAAAGGTCTGACCATTTTACCATTTAAATTTTATTAATTTATATTAATAATTGGTATATATATATATATATATATATATATATATATATATATATATATATATATATATACCAATTATTAATTTCTAAATACTTCTAAAGTTAAAACATTGATATTGAGTTGTGCTGAAATTACTAGTACTGAAAACATGTTGCATATATAGGCCTATATATAATTTTATTTAAATGAATTGAAGGAAAATCCACCAGTAGTTTACAGATTAATGAAACAGATTACATAAACATTATATATTTATGTATATTATTTTGTCTTTTTAGAAAGTATGCTATTATTAAAATGTTTACTAATTATTGCTGTATGTTAACATTGTATATGGTACAACCCTCTTTTCAGCCTTTTTTTTTTATAATTCTGTGTTGTTGTGTTTGGCCCATTTTTGTAGATGTTTTCTTGACATGTCTAATATAAAATAGAAATCTAGTTTGTTTTAAATCTTGTTAATGGTTCACTGTGTGTTTGGTCAGCTGATTCCAGTTATCGTGTTTGCTCATCATTTAATCAATCGTCAGTCTGTTTTAGTGTGCTGCACTTCAGCTTTATTTTAAATTATTATCATGTTGCACTAATTTAACACATCCACTTTTACACAGAGAGTTATACTGATATTTGAAAAATAATCCCATCTATAATAATAATTTTTTTAAAAAGCCATTTACCCTGATTGCTGTAAATCTCGCTGTGTGAATAAACATAATATAAATGAATATTTCCAGCATGCCGGTATGCATTTACCGGAACATGCTTCTAAAAGCCAGACTCACTGATTAAGAGTATTTTCCTATTAACAATGGCTGTCCATAAAAGTGTCCAAACTCTTCATTCCAGTCCAGCCTGCAGCTTCATTTGTATTTATTTAAAGCAAACCTGTGAAGCTCTTGTCACGGTCGTCTCACAGGGGTCCTGCAAGGGTCCTCTTTGTCAAATAGCTCTTAACCTTGAGCTTGTTGCCATGCAACTCTTAAAATCCCTTTTGAAAGCTGCATTTCTTTCTCTTCGTGACTAGTTTAGTCTTTTATTTCCAGATCAATTAGTAACAGAGCTTTATTTGTAATAAACTACAATTTGATTTCAACAAATTTTAGTTTGAATAAGTTACTTTTGTGATTTTGTTGTGATTTTTGGTCAATTTTATTAGCTGACAATAGAGCTGCACAATAAAAAGAAAATAAAACATTGCATGTAACAAAATGAAAGGACAGGGGAAAAGTATTGAACACATGTAGAAAGTGAGGTGTAAAAGTCAGGAAAGCCCAGACAGAAGCTGAAATTTCTAAAGCTGAAAAAGATTGAAAACAACATTGACCCTCGTCAGTGTAAATGAATATTAGCTAATGTGTTACCGACATCTACATTACCAGAAGATAAAGATTAAACCAGGGTGGACATTTTAGCAAGACAATGATCCAAAACACAGCCAAGGAAACTCTGGATTGGTTTCAGAAAAGAAAATAAAGCTGCTAAAAATGGTTTAGCCCATCACCTGACTTAGATCCAATAGAAAATAGAAACTAAAGATCAGAGTTGATAAAGGAGACCCATAGATCAAGAGGCATCTTGAAGCTCCAAGAGAGCTTCTATGCAAAGTATTAAATAGATTTCAGTTGTTCAGTACCTTCTCCTTGTGTCATTTCATTGTTATTACACATAATATTTATGAATATTCGTTTTTTATTTGTATTCATTTATTTAATTATGAATTCATTTTCAGCTTAGTCCCTTTATCAATCTGAGGTCGCTACAGTGGAATGAACTGCCAACTTATCCAGCATATGTTTTACACAGCGGATGCCCTTCCAGCTGCAACCCATCACTGGGAAACATACATACACACTCATTCACACACACACGCATACACTACGGTCAGTTTTAGCATACCCATTTCACCCAATTCAGGTCTTTGGACTTGTGGGTGAAACCGGTGTACCCGGAGGAAACCCACATGAATACAGGGAGAACATGCAAACTCCACACAGAAATGCCATCCAGCTGAGGCTCGAACCAGCGACCTTTTTGCTGTGAGGCGAACGTGTTACCCATCAACTCTTTTAAAAATATATAAAAAATATTTTGTCACCCCGCTGTATACAGTAGCACTTTACAATAAGGTTTCATTCATCTGTGTTAGTGTTTTTTAACAAAAATTTAAATTTTTTAAAACTTTTTCAAGATCAGTCAATATATATATATATATATATATATATATATATATATATATATATATATATATATATATATATATATATATATATTTTTTTTTTTTTAAATTACTTTTTTATACACATATTGCTTGTATTTTAACAGTAACATATAGAAATAAATATTTCACAATTCTTGCTGTATGAATAAACTGAAAAAAACGTAATATTTATATATATTTTTTATGTTTTATTCCTATAGCCAGTAACTTCTTCATGGACGAAATGAGCTCCAGCCACAACGACAGCCCAATGATCACATGAGAGAGATTTTGAGAGCAGGATTTATTTTCTGCATAGTAAACACCCATATCATTAGAGCTTAACAATAGAGGAATGACGAGACAGATGAAAGCACAGCTCTGAACGAGAACATTCATTTGCATATACATTCATCGCATGACCTGCCAGAGTGCAAACCACAGTAATCGAAGAGCTAAAACATTGTATAGTATATTTGTGTGTGTGTGTGTGTGTGTGCTGTCGGTCTGTCTGAAAGCTGATATAATTGTATTATCTTAATAGTGTATTTATACAGATTAGGCATGCACAGTCATTTTTGGCTCGGTTACATTTTTTACAATATTACTGAAAGGTTCATTATAGGACATTACTGAAGCATGACTTGCATAAAAATTTAAAGAGATGGAGGAAGAAACGATGCTAGCATAATTTAAAATATTCCTTGCTTTATATTCTAAGCCATATACAAGTTTGGAACTCAGCTTTTTTATGAAAGTTATGGTGCTGCAAATAATATCTAAAGTATCTCTGTGTACTATTTTCTGTGTACCTATAGGCTCATTATGGATACATACCCTTGTATACATTTTTGGAGAGCTCGAAAATAAGCACAAATCGCTGTGTACCCGTTTTTAGATCTCAAATTTTTCTTTCGAGTGCCACTCGCACCTGCTCTCTTGCGTAAATCCACCAGAGGCTGCTGTCAACTGACTGACTGACTGACCGTCCAACCCCCTTCCCTAAACCCAAACAATAGTGTTTTCAAAAGCAATTCAGAAAAAGCTGCCTGATTTTTACCATGTTTTAAGATCTTACCACATTCTCACCTTGTTATTTACATTTTTTGCCTTTTTTTTACCTGCTTTCTGGAACCATTTTTTGTCAAACTCAAACCCCATCGTTGCGGTCAACTCCGTTCTGCATCTCAAGTCCGCTGCCATATGTGGTGAGCTACTGGGCAAACTGGTAACAGCAGAAAAGCCATCCACACTGAGGTAAGCGGTCATCTGGTAGCGCAAAAGGAAACAGAAACCATTGGCGGTGTCAGACCACCCTAAAGCGTATGTTTAAAAGACCAAATACAGTGTTATGTACCTCTGGCTACATAATATTTGCTCTCCAGAAATATATGTATGGGGTATGTGTTCACAATGAGCCTGTGTTGCAAAAAAGGGTTAGGGTTAGTTCATGATCAGAACAGCATCAAAACAACACACCTCAAATAAAATAAACTCAAATTCATTTTAATGTTACTTTACTTTCTGATTAGATTTAAACAAACTTGTTGTGATGGTTCAAGAAAACAAGCTAAATATATGTTGCTAAATATATTTAGATAATGTTATTTGGCACAAATGTAACTTAATTTTTGATGTATTATTTCAAGATACATCATACATACAAACTTACACAAAATGCATTTTTATTACTATTTATCTCCTTTTAACTAGTATAATTAATAGGTAATAAGACAGATTGAGTAATATGTGTATTTGGACATTCTTAAACATTTGCAAAGTTCTGTTCCAACACTAACAATCGATTATTTTTTGTTAGTTGTCTGGGTCAAAACACACCCCAATTGTGAGTGTTACATTAAAATAAAGTAGCCCCTAAAAATGCATCAAGTTTTCCATACTATGTTAAGCAGCACAGCTCATTTCAAAACTAAAAAATATGTTTACTTTTTGAGCACCAAAGCAACATAATACAACATAGAAAACTACAATGTTTATATACAGTTTGCCATCATGTGAATAAATATACAGTATATATTAGCAATTCATTTCTTTTCGATCAAATAAATCTAGCATTGATGAGCAGAAAGTCCTATTTTTTTAGATTAAATAAATAAATAAATCATGCAAACAAGACTGTTAGTGCAGTTTTCCATGCTGTAAAAACCTGGTCACTTACTGTGTTGACTCCCCTGATCTGACATTGATCATGAATGCTTCTTTCTGTGTTTGTGTGTGTGTCTAGTATGTTGGGGGTGTTGCTGTGCTGGTGTTTAGGGGCCTCAGTGCTGTTATACGTCCTGTACTCGTGGCTGATTCCTGCAGCGGTGCAGTTTAATGGCAGTCTGGCGTTACTCTGGCATGATGTCATCGTGGAGCGAGCTTTGGATTCCCTGACCCGATCAACTCGACCACAGGTGATGAGACACCCAGTACTGTCAGTTTTGAGATTTTGGGCAGTTTTTATCAGTCTAATGTAGAGATATAAGTTGTTGTTTTTTTGGGTGTTGTTGCAATTGATCAGTTTTTGGCTGTCGATTTTAATTATCTATTAATAAAGGAATGGTTTTTTCTGTAAAGAGTTTATGTCTCTTGCAACATGCCATAAATCTCCACTTCTGCAGAACTTTTATACTTCAAATGAATTCATATCTTCATTCTGAATGGTTAAATTACATTGAATTAACTTACATGTTATTCATTCCACAACAATTCTGTTCCAGATGTTCATATTATTTTTAAATTCTATTGCGATTATTAAGAATTTCCCAAAATTCACAATCCCTTGACTCAAAAATGTAGAAAAAAAGTACATCTTTAATGAAATAATGCCTCATTTGCAGATTTGACCTTTTAACTTCCACTACGATAAAAAAGTCAATAAAAATAAATAAATATATATGATATATATATATATATATATATATATATATATATATATATATATATATATATATATATATATATATATATATATATATCGCTTAAGCAACACAATTAAACCAGTGTATGTATGTGTGTATATACATACATACAGTTTAAGTCAGAATTATTATTCCCCCTGAATTATTAGCACCCCTGTTTGTTTATTTTTTTTCTCCCATTTCTGTTTAATGGAGTGAAGATTTTTTTCAGCACATTTCTAAGCATAATAGTTTTAAAAACCTTTTTCTAATAACTGATTCATTTTATATTTGCCATGATGACTGTAAAGAATATTTTACTTGGGTAACTAGGCAGGTTAGGGTAATCAGGGCAGTTATTGTATAACAATGTTTTGTTCTCTAGAATATCGAAAACAAAAATAGCTTAAAGGGGCTAATAATTTTGTGCTTAAAATGGTTTTTAAAATTTTTAAAACTGCTTTTATTCTAGCCGAAATAAAACAGAAAAGACTTTCTCCAGAAGAAAACATATTATTGACACAAATTTCCTTGCTCTGTTAAACATTCATTCATTCATTTCTTCATTTTCTTTTCGACTTAGTCCCTTTATTAATCTGAGGTTGCCACAGCAAAATGAACCGCCAACTTATCCAACACATTTTTATACAGCAATGCCTTTGCAACCGCAACCTATCACTGGGAAACATCCATTCACTCTCATTCACACACATACACTACGGACAATTTCGCCTTATTCACCTGAAGTGTCTTGCCTTACAATGTCTTCTATCACCATAAAAACCCTTGGATGCCTCACAGTGCATGTGGTGTTGTGTCTGGTGGAGTTGAATGCTGTTAGATGTTTGAGCCTCATAAACTCCATCATCACTGGACTTTGTTATGTTGCTTGTTCTGAACAGCGTCTGCTGAAAGCTGTAAAGCAGCATGCGACTCGAGGCGACCCTCAGAGCGTCATCTCTGCCATTGATCACTTCTGCAGACACCGCGAATGGGCTATGAATGTTGGAGATGAGAAAGGTCAGAGCACTGGTTCTATTCAAGACTCAAATCATTGCTAACCCCCTCGGACCCTGTGTCCATTACAATGGACATCACATGTCAGCCCATGTTTTTTGTTTGTCCTGAGCATTTTGTCTAATTTAAAGTTCGCAGTCCATGAGAGTGGGCGATTGTCATCCAATCAAATGGTAGTAAGGCTTGATGTAATTTGAAAAAAAAATCTACTACACTGAAAAGTATCATAGCATCACATCACTCCAGACACAGATGTAAGCCACCTTTACCATTTTTTAAATTCAGATTTACTAATATGTTTGCCAATATTTTATAGACTGTATGTAAAAAAGAAGGATTGCACCTAATAATATCTAAAAAATAATGTATAAAACTCATTACATCTATAAGAAGTCCCCTTGAAACATGAGCGTGTGTTTTTGTGTGGATCCTCAGGCTGTATCCTGGATTCAGTGGTAAGTGAGCTGAACCCAGAGAAGGTCCTGGAGTTGGGCACATACTGTGGCTACTCTACAGTTCGCATCGCTCGTCTGCTTCCTCCTGGAGCTCGTCTCATTACACTGGAGTTCAACCCAGATTACGCTGTGATTGCTCGACAAGTCATCGCCTGGGCTGGAATTGAAGACAAAGTAAGAACCACATTTCTCTCTTTACACTGACTGACTGCTAGTTTAGGCAATTTAGAGATATTGACGCCATGTATTATTTGTTTAAACCCTTGTGCAGTCCTTGTTTAGTGTCGACTTATGGTCTTTTGAGTGTCTTAATTACTAATTTCTTCAGCTCATTCCTTGCTTTATCAAGGGTCGCCACAGAGGAAGGAACCACCAATTTCTTTGCCAATTATTTAACTTATGGATAGCCTTGCAGCTGCAACCCAGCACTGAGTACAACTATAGCGCTTTTACAATATAGATTGTGTCAAAGCAGCTTAACATAGAAGTTCTAGTGAATTGAAACTGTGTCAGTCCAGTTTTCAGAGTTAAAGTTCAGTTTAGTTCAGTTCAGTGGGGTTTAATTTTCACTGCTGAAAGTCCAAAAATCAAAGAGCAAATCTATAGATGTGCTGCTCCACAAGTCCCAAGCCAAGCCAGCCAGGGGCAACAGTGGTGAGAAACAAAACTTCACCAATTGACGAAAGTGAAGGAAAAAAACATGAGAGAAGCCAGGCTCCCATCTAAGCCTGGCTTCTCTCATGTTTTTTTCCTTCACTTTTACAACCATTTCTCCTCTGGCCAAACTTCTTTTGCAGAGCTGCAGTCTAGGCACCGGAGGCTGGAGAACACTTAACGTCCTATTCACACACACACACTCTCATTTACTTACACTACAGTTTATTTGCATGACACCTGAGCAGAATCCGGGAAAATAAAGCATGGAACTTTGACAAATGTGAGGAGAGTTTACTTAGACATTTTTTTTTTAAATAATTTTTTTTAGGGGTTTTAATCTTTATTGTGATAGGAAAGTAGAGAATTGACAGGAAAGCATGGGGAGCAGAGAGAGGGGAAGGATCAGCATAGGACCGCAAGGCGGAATCGAACTCGGGTCACCGCGAGCACCGGAGTGCATGTGTCGACGCACTAACCACTACACCACTGGCACCAACTGACGTGACTTGTTTTAACAATTTTGGTCCGTTTAGAAACTTTGCTGTGTAAGCGGTTTTGTAACAATTTTAATCCCTGTTTCAGAACAACGCAAACTATTTGTAGGCGTAAAAGCTAGAGAAAATGTAAGCAAAGTAATGCAATACTAAGCTGTATGTAAAAACGAAATTACTTATATGCTATAGAAGCCTACACCGGATGTTTTTGGATGGTTTGGGGAAACCATGGGGTTAGGTGTAGATGTTCCTGAGATGTTTCATGCCTGACTCAGTCTGCAGCCAGACCATTCTCTAGAGAACATGCAAACTCCACACAGGAAGGCCTTCTTATCAAGCCAGGACTTAATGCAGTGACATTCTTGCTGTGAAGCAACCGTGCTAAACACAATTTTACTATATTCATTAATGTTTTTCACTCCACATTTGTGTAGTTTTTTGGAGAAATTATTATTTTAAAAAAGTTTATAAAAAGTAAGTGGGTTTTTATACAAAAACAGCTCTTTATGCAAAATTTACTCCATAAAAGACCCACATATCTAAATTACATTGAGGTATTCATGTAATATTTTTGGCCATCATTTGAAAAATTCAGTTTGACAAGTTAATTTTTTTTTTTTTTTAGCAGTACCAGTTTTTTTTACCAGTGTTGAATTGCTGAATGTCTATGTAATTTTGACCAAATGCTAAATTACTAAATGTAAATTTATCAGTAGATGGCTGCATACTATCATAAATGATGAGTAAGAACTTTTGGTCATTTTTTCTTGCAAAATAAACATTCCTTAATAAGTACTTTTAATATAAAAGTAAATAAAAAAAAATCAGGCCATTTTGTACTTTAACTCAAATAAAATAAAAATGAAAATCTGGATTTTTATTTTTTTATTAGGGTATTTGTACTAAAGTGCCTGATTTTTGTAGTAAATTTATTTGTATATTTCAATGCTTTGTATCTATTTGTTAACTCATGTGTCAAGTATAGCCATAATAAATGAGATAATGTACATCTAACTGGTTGTTTTCACAGAATAAAGCCCTTCATTCTTTTACAACAGGCTATTTATTCTGCGAAAACAACCAGCTAGATGTACATTATCCCTTATACTTGTGGTCCTTTTCAAATATTGTTATACTGTGCTTCAGAATATATGTAATCCATGAAATATGCTTATTTTACTTCTGTTAAGATAACTTTAAATTAGGTCTGCACAATATATAACGAGAAAATAATCAATATTGCGATATTACTATGTGCAATATCTAGAAGAAGTTCAATAAATGAAGTGAATTTTTTGTGTCAAGCATTTTTGTGCTGCATGCATTGGTTGTTTATCTATAGCTGACCAGATGGAGCCTTTGCTATCTTCATCAACTTCAGGTTAAGGTGCAATAAACACTAATGCTGGGAGTGGAAAATATCAACAAAGAGAATCAGAGTTTCTGAAGGTTTCAGTCTTTCAGTGTTTTAGCGTCTCCTCGGCTGATAAAATAGTGTTTTAAAAGTTAGTTGTGTCATAATAAATATCGTTAAAGCAACACTCAATAATATCATCACATATTTCCCATTATTCCCAGTACATATTTCCCAGAGTAGATTTACTTTAAATAAGCCTGCAGTGATGTGAAAAATTCTAAAATTGAATGTTGTTCTCTAATTTGCTAATAAAGGTATTATTGTAAAAGCCTAACAGGTATTTTTCACTTCATCAGGTGCAGCTTGTAGAAGGTGCGTCTGAAGACTGGATCCCACGCATGAAGGAGCACTTTGGAATCGAAACCTTTGATTTAGTTTTTCTGGACCACTGGAAAGACCATTACCTTCCTGACACTAAATTAATGGAGGTGTGTTTTGACCATTTCATCTGCAGATATCAGAAATCTTGAATTTGCCGCTAAATCCTTCTGTCTCTCCTTTTCTGTCTACTTTCTTCACAGGGTTGTGGTCTGCTAAGGAAAGGCACGGTTCTTCTTGCTGATAATGTGATCTGTCCTGGAGTCCCAGACTATCTTGAATATGTGCGCAATAGCCGTTCCTATAAAAGCTGCTATTTTAAATCCCATTTAGAGTACACCAGGGCAGAGGATGGCTTGGAGAAGTCTGTGTTTTTGGGCTAGAGATGTACAGAGATGATTCTTATGCTTAAAAGGAGGATTTTTTTTCTTTTCTGAGAGCCAGTGTGAGGTTTATTTTAAATGATTTATTATTATAAGTCCCCTACACTCTTCAAACACTTGGTTGTTTTAAACCAAATTTAGATAAAATATGAACAAACTGTAACAATGGGTTAAAGGCGTAGTAAACCCAAAAATTTAAATCCCATCAGTATTACTTGAACTTCATCTGTTAGAGTTTATTTCTTGTCTTGAACACAAAAGAAGATACTTAGCAAACATTTGGGAAACTGGTAGACATTGACTTCTGTAGTGTATTATTAATTCATTAATTTTCTTTTTGGCTTAGTCCCTATATTATTTAGGGGTCGCCACGGCGGAATGAATCGCCAACCTATCCAGCATATGTTTTACGCAGCGGATGCCCTTTCAGCCGCAACCCAACACTTGGAAACAACAATACACTCTTGCATTCACACACAAACACTACGGCCAACTGAAATGCCAATTGATCCAGCCAGGGCTTGAACCAGTGACCTTCTTGCTGTGAGGCGATTGTGCTACCCACTGCGCCACCGTGACGCCCCTTAAATCATTTTTGGTTCCACTTTATTTTTAAGAAGACGATGTTAAAGTGTAACTATCCAGTTAATTGCTGTGTAAAAGTTATTAATAACATGTACCTACTATATGGTTAGGTCCCACTTTACATTAGGAGGCCTTAGCTAACATCTAGTCACACTGAAATTAATCATTTGTTACAATGTACTTATTGTGTAAATACATGTTTTTACATTTATGATTGATTAAATACGTGCATGTAATTACATCTGTAATTAATTTCTGCAATTACATTTGTAATTGACCATCCTTACACCTTAACCCACCCTTAAACCTACCCATGCCATCAAACCTGTCCCTAACTCTACCTGTATCCCACCTCAAGACCACCAGAAAAGTTTTGCGATACATTATGAACACAGTAAGTACGTTGTATTTATTCTTTTATGCAAGCACATATTAGTTGAGGTCACCTGGTATAAAGTAAGATCCATCATTTTAATTGTTATTACTATAGTAAGTGCATGGAACATGTGTAACTATGTCTCCTTAAATAAAGCATTACAATTGTAAATTCAGTGTTATGTGTACATTTGAGTTAAAACAATCCAGCATATTTAAGAGTGTAGATTTATTTTACAATTCTGTAAATCAAGAGAATTCTGATTTGCTCAAACAATAAGTTTTACCACTCTGTACCACTAGAGTGCAGGATCACATTTCAAATGTGACACTCTGTGTAAGGGTCTGTTCAGACCCTTCAGTTTAACCTAATATTTTATCTGTAAAATCAAACCATTTTCTACAAACCAGTGACTTTGTATACTTTTATTTGTACAAAAAAGTGACATTTTCTTCATTTTAAGGTAATTATTTTGTATTTATGAAAAGTCAACATTGATGCACAACGACATTCCATTCAGTGTTGTTTTGAGATATGTTGCCTATTGATAGGCATATATGGATTTTAGATATATTAAATACGTTTTATTTAATGTTTTGGTGCCAATTCTTGTATGCTTTGATGTCAGTCGTTTTAATTTATTCCTTTATATAACATTTAAACCATTGTTGCAATCTCAAATGTATCTTTTGTCGTGAATTGAACTGTTATAAAGCACATTTTCGTTACCTCTCTGTGATGCTTTATAGTTTTTTTTTACAGCATACTATTACTGCAATTGTGAGTTTATATCTTACAATTCAGATTTTTCATCTCAGAATAGGTCATTCTGAACAACTGTGTGTTTATGTCTTGCAATTCTGTGAAAAAAGTTAGAAACTATAGAAGTAACTTATTAATTCATATAAATTTAAAGCTGAGCTTGTCTCACATATTTAAGCAACTTGCAATTATGTCTTGCAATTCTGAAAGTTAGAACTGGAAGAAAGTCTGAATTTATAACTCACACGCAGAGATGCCCAAACTATTGCTTGCAAACCAAGGTTGTAACCTTTGAATTGGCCCTATATTGCATCTGAGAAGAGAGGGAGAATGATGGGTAATGACTTTAATCATTTCTAATTAAACATAACTTTTTTTGTTTGCTTTTGTTTTCCTGTTGAGCTACACAAACAAACAAACTGGAATAAATGTTTCAGTTAAATGTTGTGTAAATAGTCATTTGATGAATATCAGACATTGTCGAAGACATCAGCAAGCGAATCAAGGCAAACTGTGTTTTTTAGAGTTATAAATGGGCTTGTTCATGTTTTTTATTGTAAGATGTTCATTATAAAATGTACAAAAGTATATGATTATTTATACAATTAAAGTATTCTAAATGTAATAAATTATAGTATTAATTAAATTATATAATAATTATATAGGTTTCCCAGATAGGTTTCCCGCTGCGTTAAAAGCGTGCTGGATAAGTTGGCGGTTCATTCCGCTGTGGCGACCCCAGATTAATAAAGGGACTAAGCCGACAAGAAAATGAATGAATGAATGAAGGAAGGAAGGAAGGAATAATCATATAGGAAATTACATTAACAATTGGTGGTATATTTACCTCCGGCCCACCACCTTCAATCAAGTTTAGCTTTTGGCCCTTCAGAAGAAAAAGATTGGGCACCCCTTCTCACAAGTAACTCACAAGATTTTAATTGACAATTCTGTGTAAAGAAATGCTAGGATTGGGCGATATTAACAAAATAATAATTTTAATTGTATTTTTATTTATTAATATTTTAACCCTTTGACCAAAATGGCATCCCATAATAACATGCATAAACAAGACAAGCAAAAAACTATTTTTTTTTTAGAGTAAATGTTTCTTAACCACGTTTCTGGTGGACCACCATCACTACTTTGGATGTCTCCTTTGTTTCTTTGTCTGTCGCACCCGTTACAGGTCTTTCAGCATCTGCTAATGAGCTGAATCAGGTGTGTTTGTTTGAGGCGACATGGAAAATGTGCAGAGCTGGTGGTCCTTCATGAACCTGGTTGAGAAACACTGGCTGACAACTGTCTGCATTTGTGTAAACTGTTCAAATTTCTCACAAATTATAGGTAGTAAGTGTCAAATAACAGGCTACGGATATTTCAGTTCAAAAAACCTAGAATGATCTGTAGACAAGCAATACTTTGTCCCTCGATCACGGAATTGCTTTAAAAATTGAACAGAATATACACTTATATTTAAATAATTCATTTATAACACAGAGCAAAAGATATCCCCGAGAGAGAAAGAGAGAGAGAGAGATAAAAAAGTGAGCAAAAGTGAAGAGTCAGTATGTTGGGGATATGAAAAGCCATTAGCCCATATACAGCAGCCATGTGTGTCAGAATAAAGTCCAGCGGTGGTATTATGGACCAGGGTAAGGCTATACACTACCATTTAAAACACACACACGTGACCGCAGGGGCAACTAGATTATCTGTCTTTATAAAAAGACATACAAATCACGTGACCAGGAGGGTCTCGCGCCATAAAAGCAGACGGTCTGAATGCAGAGAGAACTATATCCAGCAGCATTCACATTAAAAATATATACGGGTCCATCGCTCTCAGAGACTTCTCAAATGCATGCATGTGGTAATCCCAATCTGTGCCCATTAGTGCACACTGGAAAAGAGAGAGAGGGGGAGTGAGTGATAAAGTGAGAGAGAGAGAGTGAGGGAAAGAGACAGACAGAGTGAGGGGGGCTTTTAAAGGATTTGACAGTGATTTGTAGAATCACAGTTGTGGAATGTTTGGGCTTTTCCAAGCGTTTTCCCGAAGCTTCCAATACTTTCTGAATTGAATCCTCTCCTCAGTCCGATGAATGTTTAGATTGACGAATCTGAAGACTGTGGAGGTTTAAGATGACAGCTGAAGACTCGGATGTCGGAGATTTTTTCTGTCGTGATTCAGAAGCATCAAACTTCAGTTCCAGATGGGCGCACACTGGCCTCAGCATCAGCCGGTGAGATTTATTATATATTCATTATCGTCATTTACATGTACATTTGCATTGAATGTTATAATTTTGTATGGACGTCTGTTTGGGTGACGCGAAACAAGAGGGAATACAGTGTGTTGCTGCTGTTTGTTAACACTTAATCATACGGCTGTGTTTGTCCTCTCGCGGGAGCTTTCGATCCAAATATAGCACTTTTTCCGCTCACCTGTTGCTGAATATGTATCAGCTAATTTACATAAAATATTAATATGCGTGCCTATGCATGCCCTCGATTCTCAGAGGTCCACAGAGTGCGAAGATGAGCAAAGTGTGTCCTTTTTCTAGAGGGCAAGAAAGTTTGGAGTTGAAATATATTTCGGGGATATTTTATTAGTTATTGGATCAAATGTAAAATCATTTTGCTTTAAACGAAAGTTAACCTCCCAAAAATAACATTTGCTGTATATTTACTCGCCCTCAGACCTTTAAGAATATAGGTATTTTCTCTTTTTTTAGTAGAATATTATTAGGTGGTTTTTGTTTATTCATAAAATTAATTTATTCCTTTTCTTTTCGGGTTAGTCCCTTCATTAATCTGGGGTTGCCACAGCGGAATGAACCGCCAACTTGTCCACCATATGTTGTTACGCACCAGATTCCCTTCCAGCTGCAACCCAGCTCTGGGAAACACCCATACACTCTTGCATTCACACACATACACTACGGACAATTTAGTTTATACTATGGAGCCAATTTAGGGTCATATATACTTGTATTAAAAGAAGGTTTTGCAAAAAAAATAAATTGTGCGACGCAATGGCGCAGTAGGTAGTGCTGTTGCCTCACAGCAAGAAGGTCGCTGGTTCGAGCCTCGGCTGGGTCAGGTGGCGTTTCTGTGTGGAGTTTGCATGTTCTCCCTCGTGCGTTTCCTCCGGGTGCTCCGGTTTCCCCCACAATCCAAAGACTTACAACTAATTTATAACTATAACTAACTCTCTTATAACGCTATTCTTTTTTTTAAATATAGTTTTATTATTTTTAGCATAAGAAAATAAAAAAATTATACAAAGGCCATTTCACAATACACAGACAGTCAGACACAACATGATACAGTATCATGCATAAAGCTTAAGAGAAAAAAATCTAATTAAATATAAAAAATAAAAAATTTACAGAGAAATGTGTAGGGTCTACAACTCGACAATCCCACATATAATGAGGTACAAGATTACAAGAAGTTATTCCAATGTATGAACTAATTTCATGGCATGACCAGAATGAGTAAATCAATGTTCCGTCAAAGTTTTTACATTTATGGCACAATAAGGATACATTTGGGGAAATCTTATGTAATTCTACTTTTGAATAATGAAGTCTGTGGATAACTTTAAATTAAATCAGTCCGTGTCTCCCGTTGATAATTACTCTATTCTATAACTAAACTAACTTTCTGAAAGTCTGTTATGCAGACATTTACTTGTACTTTTTTTTAATTTTGAAAAAAACAGTGCATGTATACAACTAGAATCTGTTTGATTTGACACATTTTTTAAAAGATGTGGCTAAGAAATAACTAATTAGAATTTGTTTCTTAAAGTAATTTTTTTTTTTTTACAAAAAGGTTCATTAGTTAATGCATTTACTAACATGAACTAATCATGAACAACACCTGTACAGCATTTATTAATCATAATTAAACATTTACTAATGCAATATTAACATCCAAGTCTAAGCTTGTTAACATTAGTTAATGCACCATGAGTTAACATGAACTAGCAATGAACTACTGTATTTTCATTAACTAACGTTAACTAAAATAAACAAATACAGTAGTAAATGTATTGTTCATTGTTTGTTCATGTTAGTAAATGCATTAATTAACATTAACTAATGAACCTTATTGTAAAGTGTGACCATTTTTTTTACTGCTGTTGCATTTTTTAAAATACTTAGCATTTAACCCTAAACAAGTCTGAAATTTCATTCTCGATGGTCTTAAAAAGATCTTAAAAAGCCTTAAATGTGAATTAAAAAAAGAGATCAGGTACCCGTGAAAATCTTGCAATCATGCTTTAGAGCAGTACTTGAAATAAAAACTTAAATCCTGAGTTGAAACATTAATTAAAAATGTATCTATTTATAGTTGACATAAATTATTAACCCAGTGTTAAAAACTATAGTTAGAATGACTGACAAATTTACTTATTTAAACTATTAAAACACACTTGTATCATTATATGTATGAATATTCATAAAACATACATTTAATAAATTATCATTATATATATTTAGAAATGGAGACACAGGGGCTCAGTGAGTAGTGCAGTTGCCTCACAGCAAGAAGGTCGCTTGTTCGACCCCCGGCTAGGTCAGTTGGCATTTCTGTGTGGAGTTTGCATGTTCTCTCCATGTTCTTGTGGGTCTGCTCAAGGTGCTCCAGTTTACCCCACAGTTCAAACACATGCGCTATAGGTAAATTAAATAAGGTGAATTGGCTGTAGTGTATTTTTAGTAAACCTTTGAGGTGGGGCAACTACATTCACATTTACATTCAATCATTTAGCAGCTGCTTTTATCCAAAGCGACTTACAAATGAGGACAAGGAAGCAATTTACACAACTATAAGAGCAACAATGAACAAGTGCTGAAGGCAAATTTGAGGTATGTAAAGTCTAAGAAGCAAAACATTAGTATTTTTTTAAATTTAATATTATTTTTTTTTTTTGTAATACAGTTAGCGGTGGAACCAGAGAGGCAATTGCAGATTAGGAAGGAAAGTGGAGACTAAATAGTTGAGTTTTTAGTCATTTCTTAAAGACAGCGAGTGACTCTGCCATTCTGATGCAGTTAGGGTGTTCATTCCACCAACTGGGCAGATTGAATGCAAGAGTTCGGGAAAGTGATTTCTTCCCTCTTTGGGATGGAACCACGAGGCGACGTTCATTCACAGAACGCAAGTTTCTGGAGGGCACATAAATCTGCAGAAGTGAGAGCAGATAAGAAGGAGCAACGCCAGAAGTCACTTTGTAAGCAAACATCAGAGCTTTGAATTTGATGTGAGCAGCGACTGGCAGCCAGTGCAAACGGATGAGTAGCGGAGTGACATGTGCTCTTTTAGGTTTATTAAAGACCACTCGTGCTGCTGCGTTCTGAAGCAGCCGAAGAGGTTTGATAGAGTTAGCTGAAATCTGAAATGAGTTAACTAAAATCCAACATCTGATAAACCTCATAGTGGTAACGTCCACGCAGCACCAAGCTGTAACATTATGAGACAACGTTGATTTTTGGTTGATTTTAGGTTGATTTTAGGTTGGATGTTGGAGATTGACATCGACCTGACGTTGGGTTCTGATGACAACCCGATTTTCATTTTCGCACAAAATGCAACATCCCCACAATGTTGGGGTACAATGTCAATCTGATGTCATGTTGACGTCTTGTGCCTGCTGGGTGTTTAAGGCCATTTCGGTCATCATACAGTAAACATCCGTCATCTTCTCATCAGTGACATGCATCTAAACAGTCTCTGGGTCAATGCGTGTAAAGATTTTAGACATCTTCCTGGACATTTGTAATCCTTCCAAACATTTTGCTGCAATTGTAAATTTACCTTACATGTGTGATTCAATTGGACAGGAATCACAGGTCTGATTTTTGTAAGTTGTGACTGCAGGTTGAAGGGAAGTAATGGAGTACAAGTACCAATACTGCACTGAACATTTACTCAAGGGAAAGTAAAACACACATTTTTAAAACAACTTAGTAAAGAACAATTTCTGAGAATAACTACTCAATTACAGTAGTTTGAGTATTTGTAATGTGTTACTTTACACCACTGCATATCACACATTCTATCTTCAAATCATGACATGTATTCACACATATGTTTCACATCCATTGTTTATCTCATTCCTCACAGGAGACACAGGTAGAAAAGAAACCGTTGTGCTGTAGAAGAACAACGAGCCGCTTGAATGCCAGCAACTATGACATCACAGCTGTACGCACCATCACAGTCCCGCCACCATAGGATTATCAGGGCGCCCAAACCACACGTGGGCTCCCTCATTCACATCATGTGGATACTAACAATGGGATTTACTCCAGAATCCCAGGCCGCTTCCTCAGATACTCAACCCCACTCCATAAAGATTGAAGGAGACATTACTCTCGGAGGGCTCTTTCCGGTTCATTCCAGGGGCCCTGCTGGAATCCCTTGTGGAGAGGTTAAGAAGGAGAAAGGCATCCACAGAATGGAGGCCATGTTGTACGCTCTGGACCAGATCAACAGTGACCCGGACCTGTTGCCTAACATCACGCTGGGCGCCAGGATTTTGGACACGTGCTCCAGGGATACATATGCACTGGAGCAGTCGCTCACGTTTGTCCAGGCCCTCATCCAGAAGGACAATTCAGACGTTCGATGCTCCAATGGAGAGCCGCCTATCATCCCAAAACCTGAGCGCGTGGTGGGGGTCATCGGGGCTTCGGCCAGCTCTGTGTCCATTATGGTGGCCAATGTTCTCCGATTGTTTGCGGTGAGTCATTTTGGTTGGCTTTTTTTTTTTTAATAATGGTGATTTCTTAGGAAACGCTCCATTTTAAGGGGAATAAGGGGAAAACTGATGGATGTGGATAATATATTCTTAATTTGGTGTCTCAATCAGATTTTATTCCCGAAACTTTTGCTTAGAGGGCTAATAACATTGACCTTGAACTGATTTTTTAAAAATTTAAATCTACTTTCATTCTAGCCGAAATAAAACAAAAAAGACTTTCTCCAGAAGAAAAACTATTTGAGAATCAAAGAGTATGAAATTTACAGGAGGGTTTATCATTTGACTTCAACTGTATGTGGAGTTTAAATATAAACTAATTTCAAGAGGATTACGTGCTTATGATTGACCATGGATTTACCAATTGGATGAATCCAAAACAAACATTAATAACCAGATTTCCTCACCTTAGTCATCTTCGTCTTAAAGAATCCCCCATCCACCCTGACTCCTCCCCCTTTTTTCTAGCATAATTCAGAGTGAGGCAGCTCGACGACTCAGTGGTTAGCACTGTTGCCTCACAGCAAGAAGGTCACTGGTTCAAGCCGTGGCTGGGTCAGTTGGCATTTCTATGTGCATGATCTCCCCATGCTCATGCGGGTTTCCTCTGAGTACTCCGGTTTCCCCCACAGTTCAAAGACATGCGCTATAAGTGAATTGAGTAAACTAAATTAGTGCGAGAGGTATGGGTGTTTCTTGGTGTTGCGCTACAGTAAACAATTCACTGGTATAGTTGTTGGTTCATTCCGCTGTGGCAACCCGTGATAAACAAAGGAATAAACCGAAAGGAAATGAATGAATGACTGAAACCAGGGGAGCTCTCGAGACGTACCTAATGAAATGAGAGGTAGCCCCAGGCTCGAGGATCTTCCGAGCTCAGGGCTCTCTCCCTGGACTGCTTGCCAAACATGCTTTATTTATCATCAGCTAAGTATGAACTCTTGAAATATATGTATTTGAAAGTGTTGTTAATGAAAATATGTCATGATACCCACTGCACCACCGAATCGCCCTGTATAAAACATTGTTATTATATATACCATTTTATTGGGTGCCTTTTGTAAATAATGGTATAACATTAACAATAGTAATATTAGCTTCAGTATCTCAAAATCTAAACCAAAAATGATTGCTTATTATTGGTTATGTTATTATATAGAGCAGGATGTAAAATAATATGAAAATATTACACATTTTTTCACTGTGTTACTAGTGTTCTGAAATGACATATTTAAATATGTAAATAATCTATTTCAATATCCCAGTATTTGTGCACATCCCAAGAACATTGTTTCATTTAGATTTTTCTTTACAGGAAGGATATTTCTATTTGATGTTTCTATTTTTCAGAATATTTTTTAAAAATAAAGTGAATATTACATGAGCACTGATAAAAACAGATTTCATTTAGAAGTTGTCTGTCAATTTTACAAAAAAATAACACATAGTAACACATTGATTTAAATAAGACATACTGAAACATGTTATTGTTATCATATTATTGTGTTGCAAAACACTCTCCAATAATCCTCATTTATATAGATATTTATTTATTTATATATATTTATTTATGTAATTCTAAAATAGATATTTATTTATATATAAAAAATTGAATTATACGTTTATTTAAATGTAATGTAAATGTAATTTTTTAGACCAGCCTTCAGTACAGAACTGTATATTAAATAAATTGGGGTGGTGCAATGGCTCAGTGGTTAGCACTGTCGCGTCACAGCAACAAGGTCGCTGGTTTGAGTCCCGACTGGGCCAGTTAATTATCATCACAGTGTGGAGTTTGTATGTTCTCCCTCTCTTATGTGGGTTTCTTCTGGGTGCTCTGGTTTCCCCCACAGTCTAAAGACCTGAGCTATAGGTGAATTGGGTCAGCTAAATTTTCCGTAGTGTATTTGGCTGTGTGAATAAGTATGCATGGATGTTTCCCATTTGATGGGAACTGTGGCGACCCCAGATTAATAAAGGCACTAAGCTGAAAATAAAGTGAATGAACAGTGCATAATATTTTACTAGATATTTTTCAAGATACTAGTATTCAGTTTAAAGTGACTTTTAAAGGCTTAACTAGGTTAATTAGATTAATTAGGCAAGTCATTGTATAATGATGACTCATACTGTAGACGATCTGTAGGAATATATATATATATATATATATATATATATATATATATGAAAGTGCTGTTAATGCAAATACGTTGACTTTAGTGCTTTAAATACATTTTGTGAAAATAAAATGTTATAATATGGGTGATCTATCATTGGTGTAATGGTTCAATTACACTACAAGTAAGCTTACAATTATGCTCATGCTTTATAGGGCAGTCAATGAAATACTCATGTGAACAAATCTGTGTCTGGAGATTATTATAGGTCTTATAAAAGTTATAAAAGTTGTAAAATGATATTTAAATCAGTGTTGATGATGGTCCAATAAAGGGTTCAATTATGTAGTATTTTGGGTTCCCCTTAAATAATGTTTTAAGTATTTGTCATTAAATGAATTTTATGAGCCTAGCAGGAAGTTTTGTTGTATAAACTATTGTCACACTGAGCAACATTTTATTGGCCGCTTTTTGGGGCGTCGCAGTGGCGCACTGGGTAGCACAATTGCCCCACAGCAAGATAGTCACTGGTTTAAGCCTCGGCTGGGTCACTTGGCATTTCTGTGTGGAGTTTGCATGTTCTCCCCATGTTCGCGTGGGTTTTCTCCAGGTGCTCTGGTTCACCCCACAGTCAAAAGTCATGCGCTATAGGTGAATTGGGTAAGCTAAATTGGTCGTAGAGTATGAGTGTGTGTGCGAATGTAAGAGTGTATGGGTGTTTCCTAGGACTGGGTTGCAGCTGGAAGGGCATCCACTGCATAAAACATAAGGCATGATAGTTGGTGGTTTATTCCTCGGTGGCAAGCTCTGAAAAAGAGACTAACTCGAAGGAAAATGAATGAATTATATAAATTTGGAATGTTTTTTTTTTCAGTAGTCAGAATGAAGACATGTTAGAGAAACAAAATCTCCAAACTGACCAGCGCATAAAAAGCAGACTATAGTTTTGCCAGTTCTCTTGTGCCTCAAGACAGATTTGTTTGTGAGTGCTGTTATTTTGGTACTTTGTAAGGCTGTGTGTAGTCCTGTGTGGGGCTCTTGCATGGCGTTTCTTCAAGACTTCTGCTGTGCTGCTGATAGAGCCAGTGCTACAGGAAGTAGAACTAATTCTGTTAAAAGGTTTGGATTGTGTTTCAGCTCGACTGGCATCTCGGCAAGAGCTTCTTAAGCAATATAGATTCTTCCTTTATGGCGTTCCGAGAGAGAGTGTATCCTATTTTCCTTAAAGTGAGAATTGTTTCTGAACTGAGCTCAACATTGACCTCTGTCCTCAAAACACTGAAACCCGGCAAGGTGAAATGTGCTGCGAGAACGTCATTCATTCAATTTTAAATCCATTCAGATCATCCTTTAGCTCACAAATCCTACACCTGAGCTGTACTCAATTTCATTCCGCCCTTTGCCACGTTTGATTATTATTATTTATTTGTTGGATTTATTGATTTATTTAATCAGTGTTGTACTTTGTGGTCTGGCTGTTCGTGAGCGGATGGAGTTTTCAGTCATCACACGTTCAGGGAAGATAAACATTTCACAGAATAAAAGTGACTTAGTCAGAGCTCCATTAGGTTTCTCTCGGGACATTGTACCTGTGTCCTAATCGTATTGTGTTATTCATTACTTTTAGTGAAACGCCCTGAATAGGAATAAAACAATCATGTCTCACGTTTTTTATAGCCTTTTTGATGATATTGGACAAAGAGGACAGTGGAAAAATGTATCATGTAGAAGGTGTCATCTACACATCTGGATTTATTACATTTGTTTTTTATGAAATTTGTTTTTAAAGGAACACATATGAACATTTTGTTCAGGCGTTGGTCAGTGTTGACATTTTGGTTTATTTTGCTTTAGCTGAAAAAATATATGTTTAAAGATTTATTTTAATACATTGCAGCTATTTACACCTTTAGATTACCATATATGCACTCACCATCTTCTTTATTAGGTACACCTTATTAGTACCGGGTTGAACCCCCTTTTGCCTTCAGAACTGCCTTAATTCTTTGTGGCATAGATTCAACAAGGTACTGGAAATATTCCTCAGAGATTTTGGTCCATATTGAATCACATTTGTTCCCCATTCTGATGCTCAGTTTGAACTGCAATAGTTCGTCTTGACCATGTTTACATGCTTAAATGCATTGAGTTGCTGCCATGTGATTGGCTAATTAGAATTTTGCGTTAACACGCAGTTGGACAGCTGTACCTAATAAAGTGGCCAGTGAGTATATGACTTAATAACAATACATATCTTTTAACCCTTGATTTAGATTCAAAATTAAGGCACAATATTTTAAATTTTTTCATACTAATTTAGTTTTAAATTCAAATCAGTAAAAATCTAATTACCTTTACCATTAATCATTCATTAAAAGTTGTTTAGAATTTTTACAAATTTAATATGCCTAAAAAGACATTAATCATGCAAATTGGACAGAAATATGTGTAGGTAAAGTGTGTCCACAGTCATATTTGAGTGATATAAGCATTAATTACCTGACATTAAATAAGATCCAAATCCCAGGGATTTTAGGCCCTTAGCAACATGACATAGCAGTGCAGTTTTCCCCACTAATCAATATTGATTTTCATGCCACATAATACCATGTCTCAGTATTAACACGTATCAACATGTCCACAAGACAGGATTTGCTAAGAAACTGGGATTAAAAGATCAGTTCCAACTCTCTGTAATCAAACTAAAGAAGTAGTAAGTGGTACACTTTGTATTTTTTAAAGCAATTTGAACAATTTTTAAGCTATGTAACTCATAACCAGCTCATAATCAGCTCAGCTATAAACGAGAACGCTTTAATCACACAACAGGAGTCCCGGTTTGTGGATGTTAAATCAGTTTATGCT